ATAAACTAACCTCCAAAACAAGAGTGTAGAAAGATGTCAATTACGTTACGGAGTTATGTTTGACTTTTGGTATGATATGATATCATTCATCATTTCCTATTTCCTTAAGTTTTGATTTTTTTTTTATACACAAATATATTTCCATTCCAGAATGAATTGTAAATTTTATAATTTACTATTCATTTTATCTTTACTCATCTTCTTTTTTTCATAAAAATATCTCTTTTATATTAGTGTGTATTATAAGACAATATTCATATTAGCAACATGTTTATTTTGTTAGAGATTAGTATAAATTATATTTTATGGCCTCACCTATTAGGCTTAAGCTTTTAGGTGAGTTGGTCACTTAATATGGTATCGAGCTTGGTTGACCTCGAGGTCCCGAGTTCAAGTCTCACCATCTCCAATTCTCAAGTATTAAGCACGAGACAATGTAGACCTATGCGAGTCTCATGCCTCAAATGTTGGGCCTTTCACTGAGGGGTGTGTTAGAGACTAGTATAAATTATATTCTAGGACCTCACCTATCGACCTTAACCTTTTAGGTGAGTTGATCCTTTAATATATTTAACACTGAGAATTTTTATTTTTTTATTGAAAATGCATTTTTTTCTAAGAAGATATACTTTGATTTATGATATTTAAAATATTTTGAAACATCAATTGAAAAAAAAATAAAATAATAAAGAGATCTTTGGGGTGGGAATAGTGCCACTATTTAGTAGAAAAAAATTGAAGCATAAAAAGAAGTTGCAACTTGTTAAAAGTGAACCATATAAATCATAATTTACCTCAGCCTCTAGCTTGTAGAATGTGTTGATAAGAATGTAATCAACTTTGTCTGTATTAGAAAACTGATTCAGCAACATCTTGAAGTAAGCAGGATAGGATCCAGGGACATTAACGAAGGATGGCATGTCTCGAAACTCAAGCAAAGGCAATCCAGGAACGGAAACCGAAGTAGAAGTAATTGGCAAACTCAGAAATCCATGCTGAATGTTGTAATAAATATAATCAACAGCACAAGGTTGGGTAAAAAAGGCAGCTCCCATGACCCCAAAATCTTTAGCAACATCCAAGGCCCAATGCAAGAAAGGCTCATAGATAACACAATCAACGGGGTATGGTGTGCTTTGATATTTGACAATAAGTTCTGCTAGGGTTTTTGAACCTGCTGCCTCTAGCTTTTCAAGATAGAGTTCACTAGAACCAGAACCTGAAAAGCCATGTTCATCAAAACCATCAGAGATTACATCAAGATGGACGGGGCCGATTGAGGAGCCAAGCTTCATAGATTTGACAATGAAAATAGATGTTACAAGAGTGGCTTTGAGCCCTTTGGAGACCAAACGCCTTGAGAATTGCATCATGGGATTTACATGGCCTTGGCCTGGATATGGAACTACCAGGACATGCCTTTTCCATGACTTTTCCATCTCTCAATCTCTCCCTCCACTTCAGCTCTCTAGGTTACTACTACGGCCCCTTACTTGGAGATGGAGATCAGTATTTAAAGATAAGAAGATAGCTTGAAAAGGGAATAGATAAGAGGTTAGAACCGTTGGCCACTTGCCAATTACTTGCTTTTGAAAATTTTCTCACGGCTCCTTCGCTGAAAATTCATCCTATACGATTTTTATTACAACTTAGTTAATTTGTGAAAAAAAAAAATGGTAAGAAATTAAAAAAAAAAAAAAAAAAAACTCAACATAAAAAATGATTATATCATATCTGTTTGGATTAGTGGACGAACAAGATTTGTCTTTCACATTCTGTCATGTCATAGAAAACGACATAAAACTTTTTTTTCTTTTTTAATGATACAGTTCAATAGCATCTTTTAGCTTTGAATAATTGACATTGTGTCACTTTAAAATATATTATCAATTTGACAAATTTTATTTTAGTTGATTTCTCAAGAGAAATTGTTGGTGAGAAATAAAAATTATAAAACTCAAAGAAGATCATATCAGATCTGTTTGGATCAGTGGACAAACAAGATCGTGTCTTTCACAAAATGTCATGCGCAGAAAATGATTTAAAACTTTTTAAAAGGAAAAACAAGCCAACTCTATAACTAAACTAGTGTATCATACCATCCTCTATTTATTTTGATTAAAAAATAGAAAAAATAAATATAAGATATAAAAGAATTGATGAAAAAATAAATATTTTTTAAAATAAAATAATACCAAATTAAATATAGTCAATATTTTTAAATAGAGTAAATCATTATTTTTAAAACAAAGATGATTAATTAATTTGTTTTTAAATCATAATAAGCATGTTAAAATAAGTCATTATAAATAATACCAAACAATCCGAATGTCCTAACTCCAATTATTTCTTAGAATATGCTATAAAATAAGCATGTTAAAAGGTTATGGTCAAATTTGAACTCAGGACGCAGCTAGTTCTCTGTCTTCGAAATTCACGTTAAAAGGACGTTGACTGTCCGCCATGTGGTCCTTAGACGTAGACACGGCGCAAAATTTTGGCATTGAAAATTCCTAGTGCTTCCAACTTTCTCGTAGTCACCCAATATACTTGTCCAAATCTCGATTTCTTGAATATATTAAAAATCCGGGTGTTGAAATTAAAATTTTAGAATTAATAAAAGTGTTATCGTTATGGATAGGAGTAGTGCTACATGATATTAATGGTGTAAAAAAAATCATCATAATTTTATAAGGATAATGTTTTCTTGAAAGAATATAAAAAATGATATTTTATTTCAATAGATATTATGTTATTTAACATTTTCATTTTTCAAATTTATCTCTAAACCCTTTCTATGTTTAAAAATAATGTCTGTCATCATGACGTTACTAAGCATTTTCCTTATGAATATACTCCAAGTAAATCAAATAATGAACATAGTTTAAAAAAATAAACTAGATGCAAGTCAAATGAACTTAAAAAATTTCTTACATGAACTATTAATTAGTCTAATTCAAATCTTTCTTCTCGAGTATTTAACTCAAACAAGCTCTATTACAAGGTAATGAGGCTAAATTAACTTTTTATCTTTATAGATAAGGTTAATTTAGTTTGTTTTGATAACACAATTTTTTTTTCTATTAACTACTAAAGGTTAAAACTATCTCATTGATTGTTTAACCGATAATTATGAATTGCAATATTCTATTTCTTGAGTATATGCTATAGATCCCGTCTACGAGTGACTTTTACATGACCCGTGAAGAATGAATTTAGAAAAAAAAATAGATTAAGAAAATAATTAATAAGAAAAAAATAAATACGAAAAAAATAAAATAAGAAAAGGATTGAATTGAAAAGGAAAGGAAATTAAAGACCAAATTGTGTAGTAAGTGCATGTGCGGTGATGGAAAAGAAAAAAGCCAAAAGCACAAGTTTGAAGTTTTATTTTTCTTGTTTTTGACTTTGCGGACAAGCGCATTTTAGAAGAAAGAATTGCTTTCGTTTCTTTGTGTGGGGTATAGTTGGCCGGGTGTGATAGAGAGCAAACGAGAGAGAGAAAAAAGGTTTTTTCTTGAATTCCTGTAACAAAAAACCTAATTGTTTTTTCTTTTTTACTACAATCACCGACAAAAATAGAGATTTTACATATTCAAGACTTTAGTGATTAGATGAATTTAGTTGAAAAGATAATTTGTATTATTATCAATGTTTTTGCTTCATAAATTTATTAAGAAATTAAAATGATTGTATTGTTTTCTTAATTATAGTAGATTATTTCGGAGTTGATATCGTATTTTTTTTCATCTATCGTAAAGAAGATTCTCTATGTAAATTTAGTGTTTCGTGGTTGTGATTTTGTGATCTATTCATTTTTGAGGTAAATATATTCATCTATTTTTATTATTTAAAGTCTCTCATATTTTAGATTTTTAATTACATTTCATTTGTCCTTAAAATTTTGAAATATTCAATTTATCATTTGGATCAACTTTTCTAGCTGAATGAATTTTTTTGATCGAAATGTCCTGATTAAAATGAAAGAAAGAAAAATCTAAAAACTTAAAAAATAGAATATGTAGGTAATGTGACTTTATTATTATTATTTTTTTGTATTTTAATAAAATATATTTTTGTCAAACAATTTTCATAATCAGAAAATATGATCGGAATGATAGAATGAATATTTTAAATTTTTTCAAAAATAGAAAGAATGTAATTAGAAATCTAAAAAACATATGAGAGATTTTGAGTATTACATAAAGGTATATGTGCATATTTATTCTTATTTTTGCTAGCTATTGATTATTGTGTGTGTGTTTAGTTTAATTATTTTTTCATGAAATCTAATTTATAGATTGAGATTAAATTTCCAATATATATGGACGGTTATAGGAGATTTAAAATTTTATTTCCAACTATATCCAATCCCGCCCCCTAGTCTAATAATTAAAATGTGTAAGCTGAAAGAGTCTGCGGTACTATATGTCATTGTTACTAAACCTAGAGAATTGCTGACCATCCACGCACTTCCAAAACACTATTAACACTATTGAAATGAATCAATAATGAGCTCTAGGGAGAGGGGGAGAGGGAGAGAGAGATGGAAAAGATGGTCAATAGGAGCCATGTACTAGTAGTTCCATTGCCAGGCTCAGGCCACATAAATCCCATGCTGCAATTTTCTAGGCGTTTGGTCTCCAAACGGCTCAAAGTCACCTTCATAATCACCAAATTCATTTCCAAATGAATCCAAGCAACTTTGTACATCACTTGGCTCCATTCAACTCCACACTATATCGGATGGCTATGATGATGGATTTCATCAAGTTGGTAGCAGGGATGCCTATTATTCAAGCCTGCATGATGTTGGCGCAAAGTCCCTACTAGATCTCATCACAAAATATCGAAGCTCATCAAGCCCTGTTCATGGTGTTATTTATGAGCCTTTCTTGGCATGGTCTTTGGATGTGGCAAAGCGATTTGGGTTATTTGCAGCTGCTTTTTTAACACATGCATGTGCTGTTGATTACATTTTCTACAATTTTTACCACAAAATGTTTAAGCTACCTGCTGTTTCTTCAGAGCCTGTGTTGATCGAGGGATTGCCAGTGCTAAAGATTCAAAACCTGCCATCATTCGTTGTTCTCCCAGAATCATATCCTGCTAATGTTAAGATGACCACGAGTCAGTTCTCTAATTTGGACAAGGCTGATTATGTCCTCATCAACACTTTCTACAAGCTAGAGATGGAGGTATATGCAGTGTTTTTTCCCCTTTTTTATATCATTAGTTTATTACTGATTAGATATATTCATACGAATTAACATAGGCAAATACATAAAGATAATATATAATTTTTTGGGAGCAAAACATTATTTTCTGGAAAAAGAAAAAAAAACCTTAACATTAAGGGTATAATTAAAAAAAATTTAAATTGTAGAGCTAAAATGTAATTTTTCTAAACGTTTAGGTTTTTCCATCCCATATAATTTGGGACAGAGGGATTAAGCCAGCAAGATATTTTCTTTTAATCTGAGAACTGATCGGTTTCAACTATCTTAAATGGGAACTCGAAGCTTCCTAGCCTCTCACCATTTTGGAATCAGAAAAACAGACTTAAATTCTGCAGTGATCACAAAAGAAAGAAAGTAATGTCATGATTTGAATATAGGACTTTCAGTTGAAAAGACAAAATTCCTACAACCGAATTACTCTTTATATTTCTTTTCGAGGAATTAAGCAGTCTACGGATGCCTATTAAGACTCTTTTTAACTTTTGTAAAACAGGAAAAGTATACCTTTGAACAACCTAATATTCTTGTATTTACTTTTAAACAGGTTGTGGATATAATGTCAAAAATTTGTCCAATATTGACAATTGGGCCAACGATTCCTTCCACATATCTGGACAGGCGTGTGGAAAATGATAGTGATTATGATCTTGATCTCTTTGAACTGGAAGCAAATATTTCCATTGATTGGCTCAGCACTAAGCAAATAGGTTCGGTCGTATCTGTGTCCTTTGGTAGCATAGCAAGCCATCAAAGTGAGAAGCAAATGGAGGAAATTTGGATGGGCCTTAAAGAGAAGCAATTTTCATTTCTTGTGGGCAGTCAGAGATGATAGAAAAGCAAAGCTCCCAAAATGAGGCTGTGAGATGCTTTTTTACACATTGTGGTTGGAACTCAACAATTAAGGCATTGAGCTTGGGTGTGCCAATGGTGACAATGCCAGGGGTGGAGTGACCAACCCACAAATTCCAAACTTGTTGAGGATTTGTGGGAAGTGGGAGTTAGGGCTAAAGTTGATGAGAATGGAATTGTGCCAAGAGAAGAAATTGAATTTTGTATAAAGGAAGTAATGGAGGGAGTGAGAGGGATGGAAATGAGAAAAAAATTCTAAGAAATGGAAGGAGTTGGCGATTGAGGTTTCTGATACAAATATTAATGAACAACAAGCCTCAAAAGGCCTATAAGTTCCAAAATTGGTTAATGGTCCATTTGGCCCATCCGTTTAATTTTATCCTTCTATGGGCCTCACTACTGTTTTTTATCCTATTGTCTTCCACGCTCTCGTCGTTTTTAATGACAGCCATTGATCTTGCTATTATTTGATCCATAAATTTATCCCTCTAATTTAAAAATGCTCAATTACAAGATCATTTAGGTTTGCTGTCAAATATTTGATAAAAAAATTAAAAATATTATTGTTAGTTATAAAATCTTAAATTAAACTCAGCTAAATTTACTACTACTACTACTACTACTACTAATAAAAAGTTCGGTTTTACGGTTGAAAATTAAAGGAAACAAAAATATGAGATTTTTCTTTTTGAAGATTCATTTCTATTTTTCTTCAATTTTCACTGCTAAATCTAATTGATTTTTTTAGATAGCAAATCTAAGTGGGTTTAGTTCGTGATTTTATAGGTAAAAAATGATATTTTTTTAACTCTTTATCAAATTTTGAAATAATAGAACAATTTGAGACGAAAGTTCCTTCCAATAAAAAAAGTAAAATTATAATTTGGTATTCGCATACGTAATCGGTTAACGAAAAAATTAATGAAAGTATTTGATTGATAGTTTTAAAAAATTTAGAGTATTGAAAAAAAATTCATGTATTTGATTGAGAGAAAAATAAGAGAAAAAATTGTCATTTGATATTTTAGGAGTAACACACACCTCGTTAGTCAATGAAAAAATTGACGAAAATATTTGATTAATAGTTTTGAAAAAATCAATATACTTAAATAAACAAAAATTTAAAATTCATATATTTAATAGAAAAAATAAAAAATTAATGTATTTATTTATTGTACAACTATTCCGTAAAAGTCTAAAAGATAATAAATAGTCCAAAAGATGGGGCCGCCGGGGGTTGGCATAAACTTAGGGACCAAGCTGATAGCTTTTGTTCTGCGGAAAATGCTTTCCAATGCCTTCAACCTCTTCTCGCGCAAGAAGTAAGTACTGAGTCCATTTTCTACCAATCAATGGCTGACATCACAAGGACTCACCATTGATTCCATTGGTCAATAGACAATCTTGTCTGGTTTTATATATAGGCATTAGACAGACACACACTCTTATTCCTAAGCAGAGTAGTCAGTAGTTCTCCTCTTAGATCAACCACTCCTTCGCCTTTTGCTTCCGTTTTGTGAAGAGGAATGGATTACGATTTCTCATCAGGTTAGTCACTCTAATGTTTATCTTTCAACACTAATAATGATTCATATAAACAGACAAGAGGAAGTTCTAGCTTGGTTCTAATACTTGTAACTTTATCTGTAATTTTTCCTGTTGATCACTTTTAATTTAAGATCAACAATTCTCATAAAAAAATTTACCAAGTTTATTTTTTTATTTTTGGGTTTGTTAGTGTTGGCGAATCCTATAAGCTTAATGCAAATAATGGAAGCTGGATTTAAATTCCAACCATCTCCTGAAGAATTAATAAGCGATTATTTGGTGCCGAAATCCGGTGGTGATCGTGTGAAAGGCGTGCCCATGGCAGTGGTTAACCTTTGCATGAATGAACCTTGGGAACTACCTGGTAACAACAATAACAATATAGGTATACTAGTTACGTTGTTTTGTTTTTGTCAGAATATTTTGTTGATGTGGGTGGATTTATTCCTGTGCAGATAAAGCGATGATAAAGTTAGCAGATCAGAAGTAGACAGCTCTTGTGCACTCAAATATGTTGAACAGAACTTATGTTTAATCGATATGTTAATTGTTAGACTGCTGATGTAACGTCAATGAATATTGACGCTAGAATGTTCATCAAGTTCTCTCGTCTTATCAGGCACTAAACTAGCATAGAAAGTAGGTTGAATTTTCTTAATTGCTAGGACTAAAGTTGATGAGAAGAAATTGAATTTTTGTACAAAGGAAGTAATGGGAGGGAGTGCGAGGGATAGAAATGAGAAAATTCCAAGTCATGGAACCAGTTGGTTATTGAGGCTGTAAATGAAGGTGGGACTTCTGGTACAAATATTAATGAACTTGTATGCTAGTTGACAGGCCGCAAAAGCCCATAATTCCATAATGGATTAATGGTCCATCTGGCCCATCCATTTAATCTATATTTCTATGGCTACAATATGTGTGTGTATATATATATATATATAGATATATATATCCTAATGTCTTCCAATGTCAGTCCTTGATCATTCTATTACTTGATCCGTAAATTTGTCCCTCTAGTTTTGAGAAGCGAATTAGTTGATCTTACTTGTTTCAAAAAATAATAATTTAATTCTTATATTTTTTAAATTTAGGTATAATTTAATTTTTTATATTTTTTTCGTTTATTTTGGTTTCTCGTTTTTAAAAATAGAAAAAAAGTAAAAAAAATTATAGAAAAGAAGATATTTTTAAAGTAAAATAACATTAAGTTAACCATGTCAACTGAAATAAACGGATTAATTAATTCATTTCTTAAAATCTAGAAGAATTAATTAATAATTTACTCATCCAAAATCTTAAAATCTGATACTTTTTTTCCCTCTTAAGGACCATGATAAATCACTATATAATAGTGAGGGATTGCATTTATTCAATTAACGTTTTTCTATACTTGAATTCTGTACTTTATTTATTTATTTTCTTATATATATCGTTTATTGTTTGAGGTTTCTTGTTCAAGATGTTGGAAGGTGGGAATTAGAGCCGAGGTTGATGAGAAGGAGCTGCGAAAAGAGAAGACATTTCTTTAGTTAATCTGCGTCATGAAATTCTTTAGTTTCTTTCTTTGTTTTTTCGTTTTGTTATAGATGATGACATCGCAATATATTCTTTGTGGAAACTTGGGAGCCAAGCTGATAGCTTTTGCACTGTGTAAAATGCTTTCCTTAAAGGTTGGAAAAAAGGAACGCGTTTAGAGAGGAAATGTGTAAGCGTGGCATCCAATCCCTTCTCGTCCAAGAAGTAAGTACTAAGCAGTGACAATCTTCTACCAATCAATGGCTCACATATATCACTACAGTTGTGGACTCACCATTGACTCCATTGGTCAAGAGAATCTTGTCCGATTACATATGTAGGTATTAGGCAGACACACACTCACCTCTACTCCTCTAGAAATGGCTGTCCACTTCCTCTCTCAAATTCCTGATCAGTAGAGTAGTAAGTAGTTCTCCTCTTGGATCAACCACGCCTTACTTCTCCTCTTAGATCAACCACGCCTTCGCCTTTTGCTTCCGTTTTATTAAGAGGAATGGATTACGATTTCTCTTCAGGTTAGTCACTCTAATATGTTTATCTTTCAACACTAAGAATGATTCGTATGAGCAGACAAGATGAATTTCTAGCTTGGTTCTGACTTCTAATCTTTCTAACTTTCCTTGTAATTTTTTCCTGCCGTTTCCTTGCTGACTTTCAATGTAAGATTATCGATTCTCATCAAAAAGTCTAAAAGTTTTTTTTTTTTTTCGTGTTTGCAAATACAGTAATCTTAATGCAATTAATGGAAGCTGGATTTAAATTCCTACCATCCCCTGAAGAATTAATAAGCAATTATTTGGTGCCAAAATCCCGTGGTGATCCAGTGAAAGGCGTGCCCATGGCAGTGGTTAACCTTTGCAAGAATGAACCTTGGGAACTACCTGGTAATAACAGTAACAATATACGTGTACTAGTTAGGTTGTTTTGTTTTTGTCAGAATATTTTGTTGATGTGGGTGGATTTATTTCTGTGCAGATAAAGCGATGATAAAGTTAGCAGATCAAGCGTGGTATTTCTTTTGCCCTCGCGATCTTAAGTACAAGAACCGCAAACTTGAAAATAGGAAAACAAAGGCCGGTAACTGGAAGTTAACCTGCAGGATAAAGCCAATAATGGCTGAGCATACTAAGAAAAAGATTGGTGTAATGAAGACTTTAACTTTCTACAAAAAAGCTCTGCACAGATATGAGAGGACTGGATGGAAGATATATGAATTTGACATCATCACGGATTCTAGCCTGTACGAAAAGGTAAATGCCAACTTTAATTTCCATGGCTGATGCAATACTGTGTTTGATGTATGAGTTGGGAAATTGTGGTCTAAAGAGCTAGTTCACTTTTGTGTTTTGACATGTGCAGGGGCAATGTGTTCTATGTAAACTGGAGTATAAATTAGAAGATAAGAAGACCAATAGAGGTGAAGAAAATCACCATATGGCTGAAGCTGAACCAAGTCAGAGTATGGCTTCTGATTATGAAGATAAAAACAGAAGTGAGATGACTAGTGATGGAAGTGAATTAAGCCACCTTGTGGCTTCTGAATATCGTTTTGAAAATCAAAACTTAGATGAGCTGATGGCTAACTCAGCTCCCCAGGTTAGTGAATTAAATAATGATGATAGAAATCAGAACTCAAATAAGCTAATGCCTAATTCAGGTTATGATGGAAGTAGGTCAAGATACTTGACGGCTTTTAATTCTGAAACAGAATACTTGAATCAGCTAACAGCTGATTCAGCTTATAATGGAAGCAAAAGCAACTGTAAGGCTTTTGATACTGAAAATCAAATGTTAAACAATATCAAACAATGGTTAATGGCTCCTGGTTTGAAAAATCAGGAATCGCCCTTTCAAGAGGAAGGTGAAATATCAAACAATATGATTACAACCGATAAGTTAGTTGTTTATGAGAAATGGTTAATGGAACCTGATTTGGAAAATCAGAAATCGCCCTTTCAACAGGAAGGTGAATCCCGTCCTTCAGCGGTGAAGCCTTCTGAGATAATAAAAAATCCAACTACTGGTAGTGAACCTAATACCCTAACGGGTTTTAATGTTAGAAGTCAAAATTTATACAAGGAAGCAGATATATCAGCCTTCGATGAAGGTGACTGTAGTTATCTCCCAGCAACTCCTTCGGATTTTGGAAATCAAAATCCTTGTGAGAAGACTGATATGTCAAGTACCCTTGAAGAAGATTATTCGAGTTACTTGAAGGACTCTGTTTCAGACAACGAAGTAGCCTAATGTTGAGCTTCCAGAGGTGAGAATTAAGTCACATGCATTGCAGATTCTTTTCAATTTTTCTAATGGGGTTTGAGTAGCAAACCCAAAGCTTGTTCTTACTTTACGTGATACTTCTTGCAGGTAAGCACTGAACCACTAACAGAGCTGGAAGTGTTTTTTGAGCAAGAAAACAACCCCAACACTGCACTGTGCTCATGGAGGAAAGCTACTACATCGGCAAACTTAATTTTCTACCTGCTATTTAACAACAAGAATAACCATATTAAACAATCAATGAGGGCAACCAGTAATGCTCCTCTAATCTGCTGTTAATTAAGGTAACTTATATCGCTCTAGCTGTTCAGATCCTTGCATGGTTGCTGAACTGTACATTTTGTAGACTTTATGGTGGATGTTGCTTAGTTCGACTTCATGCAGTCCATGCAGCTTCAAGCTGCAATCCTCTAAGATATAGCCTGTGCAGTCCCAACTCTGCAGCTATATTCATAGAAAGAATTTAGTACCAGTAGCAGCAGAAGTGACTTGTTCTCTGCGATCCTGATGCGATTGTTATCCCCCAATCACTAAGGAATTAAATGGGATGTAATGTCCAAGTTCTACGTATGTATAGTTAGTTGCTTGCTATTGTTATGTCTACTCTAGCTGAGTGTGTGAAGGTGAAATTTTATCAGAGCATACAGCTCTAATGGACTCAAATATGTTGAACAAAACTTATGTTTAATCGATATGTTCAAGTTCTCTTTTCTTATCTTTGTTAATTGTTGGATTGCTAATTAATGTAATGTCAATCAATATTGACGCTAGAATGTTCAATTAGAATCGGTCGTATATGTGTCCTTTGGTAGCAGAGCTAGTCATCAAAGTGACAAGGAAATGCAGGAAATTGCTTGGGCCTTAAAGAGAATCAATTTTCATTTCTTTTGGGCAGTCAGATATGATAAAAATGCAAAGCACCCGAAAAGGTTTGTAGAAGACATGGCCAATAAAGGATCCCAGTGAAATACAATTATTTTTTTTAATTTCTTGCAAAATTTTGAAATAATACAATAATTTAAAGTTAAAGTTTCATTCAACAAAAAGAGAGTAAAATTATAATTTGATATTCAAATACGTCATCAATTAACGAAGAAATTGATAAAAATATTGGATTGATAGTTAAAAAAAAATACTTAAAAAATAAAAATAAAAATTCATGTATTCGATTGGAAAAAAAAAAACAATTGTAATTTGATATTTTGAGATAACAGACATATATTGATAAAAATATTTGATTAATAATTTTTAAAAAATCAATATACTCAAATAAAAATAATTAAAATTTATATACTTGATTGTAAAAATTTTAAAAATTATGTGCTTATAAGGTAATTATTTTCTTAAAAGATGATAAATATTCCTAAAGGTGGGGCAGCCTGCTGGGGTGGTAAGAACTTCGGAATCAAGCTGATAGCTTTTGTCCTGTGGAAAATATTTTCCATAAAGGTTAAAAAGAAAAAGAACGCGTTTAGAGTGGAAATGTGGCATGGGGTCCAATCCCTTCAACCTCTTCTCGCCCAAGAAGTTAGTATTGAGTACGGACCATTTTCTACCAATCAATGGCTGACATCACTACGTGTTTGGACTCCCATTGACTCCATTGGTCAATAGAGAATCTTGTTCAATTACATATGTAGGCATTTGGCAGACATACACTCACCTCTACTCAGCTAGTAATGGCAGTTCACTTCTTTTCTCTTATTCCTCAGTAAAGTAGTAGGTGGTTCTCCTCTTAGATCAACCACGCCTTCGCCTTTTGCTTCCGTTTTATGCAGAGGAATGGATTGCGATTTCTCATCAGGTTAGTCACTCTAATGTTTTTTCTTTCAACACTAATAATGATTGGTATTAGCAGACAAGAGGAGTTTCTAGCTTGGTTCTAATCTTTGTAACTTTGTTTGTATTTTGTTTGCTGACTTTTAATCTAAGATTATCGATTCTCATAAAGAAATCTACTAAGCTTATTTTATTTTTTTTGGTTTGTTAGTGTTGGCAAATCCAATAATCTTAATGCAATTAATGGAAGCTGGATTTAAATTCCAGCCATCTCCTGAAGAATTAATAAGCAATTATTTGGAGCCAAAATCCCGTGGTGATCCAGTGAAAGGCGTGCCCATGGCAGTGGTTAACCTTTGCAAGAATGAACCTTGGGAACTACCTGGTAATAACAGTAACAATATACGTATACTAGTTAGGTTGTTTTGTTTTTTGTCAGAATATTTTGTTAATGTGGGTGGATTTATTTCTATGCAGATAAGGCAATGATAAAGTTAGCAGATCAAGAGTGGTATTTCCTTTGCCCTCGCGATCTTAAGTACAAGAAAAGCAAACTTGCTAACAGGAAAACAAGGGCCGGGTACTGGAAGTTAACCTGCAAAATGAAGCCAATAATGGCTGAGCATACTAAGAAAAAGATTGGTGTGATGAAGACTTTAACTTTCTACAAAACAGCTCGGCCCAAAGCTGTGAGGACTGATTGGATAATACATGAATTTGACATCATCACAGATTCTAGCCTCTACAAAAAGGTAAATGCCGCTTTAATTTCCATGGCTGATGGAATCCCGTGTTTGATGTATGAGTTGGGAAATTGTGGTCTAAAGGAATATTTCACCTTCGTGTTTTGACCTGTGCAGGAGGATTATGTTCTCTGTAAATTGGAGAATAAATTGGAGAAGATCAAGAAAGGTGAAGAAAATCACCATATGGCTTCTTCAGTTTCTGATTCTGAAGCTGAACCAAGTCACAGTATGGCTTCTGATCATGAAGATAAAAACAGAAGTGAGATGACTGTGAATTCAGCTAGTGATGGAAATGAATTAAGCCACCTTGTGGCTTCTGATCGTTTTGATATTCAAAACTCAAATGAGCTGATGGCTAACTCAGCTCCCCAAATTCCTGAATTAACTTCTGATTTTAGAAATCAGAACTCAAATAAGCTAATGTTTAATTCAGCTTATGATGGAAGTAGGTCAAGCTACTCCATGCCTTTTAATTCTGATGCCCAATGCTTGAATCAGCTAACAGCTGATTCAGCCTATATTGGAAGCAAAAGCCACTATAAGGCTTTTGATTCTGAAACTCAAATATCACAAAATATGATTACTGTGCCAACTGATGTGGATCAGTTAATGGCTTGTGACAAATCGTTAGTGACTCCTGGTTTGAAAAATCAGGAATCGCTTTTTCAACATGAAGGTGAATGCGGTTCTTCAGCCGTGATGCCTTCTGAGTTTACAAAAAATTCAACTAGTGGTAGTGAACCAACTAGCCTAATGGGTTTTGATTTTAGAAGTCAAAATCTAGACAAGGAAGCAGATATATCAGCCTTCGTTGTAGGTGACTGGAGTTATCTCACAGCAACTCCTATGGATTTTGGAAATCAAAATCCTTGTAAGAAGACTGATATGTCAAGTACCCTTGAAGATTATCCGAATTACTTGAAGGACTCTATTTCAGACAATGATCTAGCTGCTGTTGGGCCTCCAGAGGTGAGAATTAAGTAACATGCATTACAGATTCTTCTCAATTTCTCTTATGGGGTTTGAGTAGCAAACCCAGTGCTTGTTCTTACTTTCCGCGATATTTCCTGCAGGCACTTCCTGAACTACTATCAGATATGGAAGAGTTTCTTGAGAAAGAAAACAGCCCCAGCACTGCACTTGATCAACTGCCGGGCATGGAGGAAATCCTCTCCTATATCGGCTTTGATACCTCTGCATCTACTTGAAAAGATCTGTTCTCTGGGCCTAAACCTCTGCGCCCTTCATTTCCTACCTGCTATTTAACAACAAAAATATCCATACTAAACAATCAATGGAGTTTATTATATATAGCTTAAGAGGGCAACTACTAATGCTTCTCTAATCTACTTTTATAGCTCTAGTTGTTCAGATCCTTGCATTGTTGCTGATCTGCACATTTTGTTTACTTTATGGTTGATGCTGCTTAGTTCGACTTCATCCAGTCCATGCAGCTTCAAGCTGCAATCCTCTAAAATATAGCCTGTGCAGTCCCAAATCTGCAGCTATATTCATAGAAAGAATTTAGTACCAGTAGCAGAAGAAGTGACTTGTTCTCTGCTATCCTGATGCGATTGTTATCCCTCAAGCACTAAGGTATTAAATGGGAAGTACTGTCCAATTTCTACTTATGTATAGCTATTTGCTTATTATTGTTAAGATGAAATTATATCAAGAGCAGATAGCTCTTATAGACTTTGTATATACCTATCAGTGTGTTTCAAAGATGTTGAACAAAACTTATGTTTAATCAAATGTGTTCAAGTTCTCTTCTTTTATCTTTGTTAACTGTTGGATTGCTAATGTAATGTGAATGAAGATTGGCGCTAGAATGTTCAAGTTCTCTTTTCTTATTCAGGAACTCAACCAGTTTCTGCTTTTCGAGTATCAAACTATGTAGCTTGTCATTGATCTTATAAAAAGGTTAATTCCCTTTTTATTGAAATCCAGCATGAAGCACAACATCCAGGGCAGAAGTACTCAAGCATGGTAAATATCCAAATCTGAGAGCAACTGATAGGAAAGTGAGAGTAGCTTTGCTAGCATTTAGCATAATAACAAGGAACAACAAGGAGAAACAATAGTTCTGCTGTGTCATTTTAAGCAATCAAATCAAACTTGTAGTTAATACAGATGTGAAAAATGAAGAGACCAATGGAGATGAAAAGAAAAGGTGTTATATATATATATATATATATATAACACCCTAATATTGTTATATTTACTTCAACAGGTTGTGGATACAATGTGTAAACTTTGCCCAATATTGACAATTGGCCCAACCAATTCCTTCCACATATTTGGACCAATGGTCTTGATCGGCCCAACAATTCCTTTGGTAGCATAGCTAGACATCAAGGTGAGAAGCAAATGAAGGAAATTGCATGGGCCTTACATTTCTTGTGGGCAAGCCAGAGATGATAAAAATGCAAAGCTCTCAAAAGGGTTTGTGGAAGAAGTGGGCACTAAAGGATTGCTAGCGAATTGGAGTCTTCAAGTGAGGCTGTGGGATGCTTCTTAGTTCTTACCCATTGTGGCTAGAGCTAACAATTTTTCATATTTTTTTTTCGTAAAATTTTCAAATCAAATAATCAAAATTATTCATATAATTTACTAATAATTATTTTTTATTCTACTAATATTTATGCAAGTTATACAAATGAAAAGCTTTTAAGTTAAAATCATATGAATAATTTCGATAGTTTAAAATTTTTGTCATCATAATAAATTAAAAAACTTAAACCTATGTTTAAAAATAAAATTTACTCAATTAAAAATATAATAATAAATTTAAAAATAATGACAAATTCAACCATTAACCCTATATAATGATCCAAAACTTGTATATATATATATATATATATATATGAAACGGGTCTCCATCAAAACCTCATCATCTTTGAATTCAGCACATATAAGCCAAAGAGTGTTAGGTGGAACTAAATATGATAATTAAATTAACTAACAAAAAAAATCTAATAATTAAATTAATTTACAAAACTTAAACTAAAAGGTCAAAACAGTAATTTATGGGCTAGATCAAAATTCTTGCTCAGTTGATTGCTCCGCCAGTCCATCAGACCGTTGGATGCTACTGACAGCTGTCGTCAACTAATCGCAGCCGTTGCTTGTTCGCTCTACAATCTTGTGGACACGTAGATCTTTGACTTTTTAATTTGTAGCTAGTGGGCTTAGAACTATTATTAATCCACTTAATTAGTTTCATTTATTTCCACATGATGTTGATACAGAATTAAATTATATATTAGTCCATTTAATTTTGAAAAGTAAATGAATTAGTCCTTTTTGTTTAAAAAATTAATTATTTAAGTAGTAAGTTCAATGTTTAGTTTAGCGTTATTTTATTTTTGTCGCATCACTCTTTTCATAATATTTGTTTATTTAAAAAAAAAAACAAGTTAAAAAACTAAATAATTGATTTTTAAACAGAAGAGATTAATTAGTTTATCAAAATTATAGGGACTAATTTATAATTTCCTCAGTTGATACATGATTTTGTATGATTCTATTTTTTTTACTCTTGTTAAAAAAAAAAAAAAGTCAAGTACATCAAAGTCACCGAATATAAACTAAATTTAAATCTAGTCATTCTTATTTTAAAATGTAAGCTTTTAATCTTTATATTTTTTTAATTTTCTTCTAACTTAATTCTTTTCCCTCATTTTTATTTTATTTTCAATTTTTGTTCTAAAATAAATAAATAAATATGAAAAGATTGATTAAAAAAAGAGACTTCTTTTGAAATAAAATAATATAAAATTAGACAAGGCCAACATGTTATGAAAAGATTAATAAATTTTTTTTTTGAAATAAAATAATATAAAATCAGACAAGGCCAACACAATATGAAAAGATTGATTAAAAAAAGCCTTTTTTGAAATAAAATAATATAAAATTAGATAAGGCCAACACTTTATAAAAAATTAAAAAATTAAATTTTTTTAAAACAATCATTTCATTTATCGATAATAGAGGGACTAATTTTTAATTTACTCTCAAATATAATTAACGTATGTTGTTTAGCCTTGGAGAGTTCCTTACCATTCCGCTTCCAAGAAGCTATTGCTACTTGAACAAAATAGTAAGCTCTGAAAACAGAGAGTGGAAGATATGGAAAAGAATAAGGTGAATAGAAGTCATTTGCTGGTAGTTCCAATGCCAGCTGAAGGCCACATAAATCCCATGCTGCAATTCTCTAGGCGTTTGGTCTCCAAAGGGCTGAAAGTCACCTTCATAATCACCAAATTCATTTCCACATCCAGGCAACTTGGCTCATCAATTGGCTCCATTCAACTTGATACTGTCTCAGATGGCTACGATGATGGTGGATTTAATCAAGCTAGTAGTTTGGAAGCATATCTTTCAAGCCTGCATGATGTTGGTCCAAAAACCCTTTTAGACCTCATCAAGAAATACCAAACCTCTTCGAGCCATGTTCATGCTGTAATCTACGAGCCTTTCTTGGCATGGGCTCTGGATGTGGCAAAAGATTTTGGATTATTTTCTGCAGCTTTTTTTACACATGCTTGTGCTGTTGATTACCTTTTCTAGAATGTTTACCATGAAGTGTTAAAGCTGCCATTTTCTTCAACTCCTGTGTCGATTGAGGGTTTGCCAATGCTGCTTGAGCTTCAAGACTTGCCATCATTTGTTGCTCTGCCAGATTCATATCCTGCTAATGTTGAGATGATCATGAGGCAGTTTGCTAATTTGGACAAGGCTGACTGGATCCTTATCAACACTTTCTACAAGCTGGAGAACCAGGTAGGTAATTTTGTAACCTCTATAGATTTTGGATTTTGCAAACTATTGGGATTTTATTTGTACTTCTTATTCTGTTTTTGGAGAAACTCTCATTTCTATCCCTAATGTATTACCTAATTCCCAATTTCATCCTAAACCGATTAATTTTATCAATTTCATTTCCAAACCTGCCTTAGACAATTTCTCCCTCTATTCAAGAAGTGGGAGGTTTTTTTTTTTTTTTTTCTCTCTCTCTCTCTCTCTCTCTCTCTCTCTCTCTCTCTTTGGCTGAGGAAGGCATGTGTATACATTGTCTAATTTCTAATAGGTTTGGGATGAAATGTACAAAATTAATTCGATAGGGATGGAATTGTGAATTAAACAATATCTTATCATCATAATAGGTCTTGCCTTGGTTTTTACTTTTTTGCCTAAGGTGTGAAGTACCTCTTAGAGCATCTTCAATGCTCTCTTTATATTAAGATTTTTCTTTATAATAAAGAAGTTTGGCTCAAATTCTATCTCCAATACTCTCTTTATCACAATTTTTATTTTTAAAATTAAGATACATAGTGTCTTTGACTCTCCAATACTAAAGAGTCCAAATGACTTTTTATCTTATATTACATCAACGAAAATTACTATTTCCTATGCTACTTAGCTTTTTCATCATTAGTCTCTTTGGGTTTTATAGATTTTATCAAAATAAAGAGTTAAAGTTGAGAATAGCATTGAAGAGGACATTGATCTTCAATCTATATAATTAATGATGCTTTTTATTTATATTAAAAATGCTAGCTAAAAGTAGAGAGCACCATTGGAGATAATCTTAGCTTAGATGAAAAAACAAATATTCTCTTTAAAAAAAAAAAATCTTATTTTTCCTCTTAATAACATGATTTTTTAATGTGTCCCTTCTATTAGACTTTTGTTGAGAATTTGACCCAAAAACCAATAAAAATCCTCCCCAATTCCTATTTTTTTACTCCAACTTAGAAAATGTGTTTACTGGAGTATTTTTAAGGGCTTTCCAACGATTTTTAAATAAAATCCTAACAAAAGGAATAGATTTAGAAAATCATATTGTTTCAAGGAAAAAATAATTTTTTTTTAGTTCAATGGAGTATTTGTTTTTTGAGTTTTCTCCATATTTGAACCTTATATTTTTTGAATTTTTTTGATTGAATTTTTTTTTTTTTTTGGGCTTCATGATGACTTTATTTTTTGATATTTTTAGTTTTAAACATTCTGTTATAATAGTATTAATTAGTGATCGAACATGGCATTGTAAAGTAAGAAAGTTTGAAAAATAAAGATAACATGCCCATTACCGATTGATAATGTTCTAATGAAAAATCTAAAGTAAAGAATTTAAAAAAATAAAATTTTTTAATTCAAAAAAAGAATATGTTAATAAAAAAATTGGAAATACACATGACATTGATGTGAGGAAAACCCTTTGTTTTTTTTTTTTCATTCAAATTCAAGAAGATATTTCACAATTTAGACTTACTTTTTATCTCTATTTGTTTGTCTTGGGGTTTTGAACCTTTTTCTAGTAATTAAGTAGAAATATTCGGCGAAAGTGTATTTAGAATTTCAAAAAATAAAAAGTTTTAATTAAAAAAAAAACATCTCAATAAAAAAATTGGAAAAACACATGACACAAATGTAAGAAAAACCCTTTCTTTTTTTTCATTCAAATTCAGGAGGATATTTTACTATTTAGACTTACTTTTTTCTCTATTTGATTCTCTTGGGGTTTTGAACCTTTTTCTAGTAATTAAGTAGAAATATCCAGCGACAGTGTATTTAAACCTTAGTCACATTGTTCTAGAAAGGTATTTGTTGAGTTTTATACTTGATTAAAGACAATAAAAGTCAAGATATATAAATATAAAACAATTAAAATAGGAGTAGATTAAAATAAAATTAGAAGACTAATTTTTTATTTTTCTCCATAAAGTTTGAATAGTTTTCTTCTGCCAAGCATTTGATTGCTGGGGAGACAAATTAGTACATGTGGGCCATAAAGTCCCATCCTCTAGGCACATATATCAAAATGAGAAATTATCGTTATTGGCATGTTTATGTGTTCGTAGGCAATCCTATCAACAACAAATCAATGTCAATTCTGAAGGATTAGAATTTCAAACACTTAGCTGTCAAGGTAACAACAGAATTAATATATATATATATATATATATATTTCGAAGGTCATTCTGTATATTAGAATGAGAAGAATCAGCAAGAAAGTGGTTAAAAAATAATATCATAATACAATAAAATAGACAACAAAAGTAACATCTTCTCAAAAATAAAATAAAGCTAAACTTAAAAAATTTATGACAGCTTAATTATCAATTCTAAAAGTCTAATTGACGAGTTTTTGATAATTTTTTTTTACATTTTAATTCTGTCAGAGTTATACAATAGATTATTTTTGAAATTACTAAAATAACAATCAACATATTTAATCTAATGCGTTATTAGAAAAAAATATATGAATATTTAGAGATAAATAATTTGATATTGTTATGTTTTTATGATATGGGAATTACGGTTCCAAATCTCTACAAATATTTTGATGCTGTTCTATTTCAACTCTTTAGGTGGTGGATACAATGTCAAAAGTTTGTCCGACATTGACAATTGGACCAACACTTCCATCAATGTACTTGGACAAACGTATTGAAGATGAGGATGACCATGGCATTGATCTCCATGAGGTAGACGCATCTGTTTCTATCAAATGGCTTAGTAATAATCCATCTGCATCAGTTGTATATGTGTCCTTTGGTAGCATTGATAGTCTAAGCAACAAGCAAATGGAGGACATTGCATGGGGGTTGAAGAGGAGCAATTTCCACTTCCTGTGGGCAGTGAGGGATTCTGAGAAAGGAAAGCTCCCAAAAGGGTTTGTGGAAGAAAAGGGCAACATGGGATTGCTAGTGAATTGGAGTCCTCAAGTGAAAGTGCTGGCCAATGAAGGCTGTGGGATGTTTTTTCACACATTGTGGTTGGAACTCAACAATTGAGGCATTGAGGTTGGGTGTGCCAATGGTGACAATGCCAGGATGGAGTGATCAACCTACGAATTCTAAACTTGTTCAAGATGCTTGGAAGGTGGGAATTAGAGCTAAGGTTGATGAGGATGGACTTGTGAAAAGCGAAGAGATTGCTTCTTGCATAAAAGAAGTGATGGAGGGAGTTAGAGGGAGAGAAATGAGAAAGAATTCCAAGAAATGGAAAGAGCTGGCTATTGAGGCTGTGAGTGAAGGTGGAACTTCTAATACTAACATCAATCAACTTGTAACAATTTTGCCCAACACCAAGTGATTGAAATTATGTGACTTTATGCCTAATGCGTTTGTTTCTATTGGCCTAGGAATTAGGATTTGCTCATGCATAAATTTTACACATTTATTTAGTTAAAATTTACATCCAGGAATCATTTGATTTCGCCAAAAGATTTTTATCCTAAGTCATGTCAAACTGATTGTGGTAGGGTCTTGCAATCTTCAAAAGCTATGATTTTACACGTCCTCATGGCCCTCCATGCATTCAGAAATAATAATTTAAGGGAACAGACAGAAGAATAGTATGTGGATTTCCATCAATGCAAAGAGTTATTTTGCACCACTCAAAGTGATGCTAGACTGTTTTGTTAATTATAGGTTGCACCTTCTGTGACTCCATCTCTATTACGCCTCTCTATTGTGTTTGAGAGACAAGAATTGGAAAAAAATGGCCAAGGAAAAAAGAGCCAGTGAAAGCCATGTCCTAGTACTCCCTTTGCCTATACAAGGTCACATAAACCCCATGCTCCAATTTTCCAAACGTCTAGCCTCAAAAGGCCTCAAGGTCACACTGATCATCACCCCTTCTATTGCCAAGTCTATGCAACGCCAAGCAAGTTCTATCAACGTGGAACCAGTTTTTGATGGATCCAAAGAAGGAGAAATGGCAGCGAATATTGATAAATATTTCGAGCGTTACAAGGCCACAATGCCTCACAGCTTATCCAACCTCATTGACAGGTATAATGACAGCGAATATCCTGTTAAGTTTCTCATATATGATTCTCTCATACCATGGGCATTAGATGTGGCTCGAAATAAGGGCATAGAAGGTGGTCCATTTTTCACTCAATCTTGTGCAGCTACTGCTGTTCTTTATCATGCCACTCAGGGGGATTTCAAGTTCCAGTAGAAGAGTCTGATCGGGCAGCCTTGTCCTTACCTTCACTGGAAAAAATGGAGTTCAGAGATCTGCCATCATTTGTTTGTGATGCAGGTTCATATCCAGCTATACGAGAATTCCTTCTTGGTCAGTTCTCAAATTTTCTTGAAGCAAGATGGTTCATATGGAACACCTTTAACGAGCTTGAAGTTGAAGTATAGACTCCAGTTATTTAATCTATAGCTAGCCATTTCTTTTGTTCATTTATGGCATATTGAATACTCCTTGACATTTTCCTATTTCTGCACCAGGTAGTCAATTGGATGAGAAGCAATAAATGGCCAATCAAACCAATAGGACCAATGATTCCATCTATGTTCTTAGACAAGCGGTTGGGGGATGACAAAGATTATGGCTTGAACCTTTTCAAGCCCAATTCAGATGCTTGTATGAAGTGGCTGGACTCGAAGGAGCCAGGTTCGGTTGTGTATGTATCATTTGGAAGCCTGGCTGCCGTCGGAGAAGAGCAAATGGCAGAGCTGGCCTGGGGTCTTAAACGAAGCAAACGGTACTTCCTGTGGATAGTAAGAGAATCAGAAGAGGGAAAACTTCTGAGGGACTTCATAAAGGAGACATCAGAGATAGGCCTAATCATACATTGGTGTCCACAACTACAAGTTCTTGAGCACAAGTCTATTGGGTGCTTCTTTACTCACTGTGGATGGAACTCAACACTTGAGGCATTGAGCTTGGGAGTGCCAATGGTGGCAATGCCACAGTGGACTGATCAACCAACAAATGCAAAGTATATCACTGATGTTTGGCATGTAGGAGTTAGAGTGAAGGTAAATGAAAAGGGGATTGTCACCAAAGAAGAGGTAGAAAGTTGCATAAGGGAAGTCATGGAAGGTGAAAGAGGGAATGATATAAGAAGGAATTCTGATAAATGGAAGAAATTAGCCAAAATGGCAGTAGATGAAGGTGGGAGCTCTGATGAGAATATTGAGGAGTTTGTAACGAAGGTTGTGTGCAAGTCCAATGGTATCACAGAGTGAAGTCCTTTCTGCCTTGAGGTGCTACTAAAAGATGCTATAGACATCAATACATCCATTTTAGTATTCTGTCAGATGTTATAGACATCTTCATTCTCCAAAAATAAAAGCTGCCATCAAACCGTCATTGCAAATAATGGGTTAATGGTTGTTGGAGTTTCTGTAATATTTCTTTCGTTTTTACAGTGCTCATTTACTTTTTTTTTTTTTTTTTTTTTTTAAGTTCGTATTTTTATGTTTGATATTTGTTTTAATTTCGTCATATACTTTTTGAACTAATGATAGTAAATCACAATGTTAACCTTGCATAATTGTGACACACGTCAATTTGTTTTTTTAATCTTGTCTTTCTGTTTTTTTTTTTCCTTCTAAATTTTGAAAAAAAAAAACCTAGAAGAAAAAAATGAACCGGTCATTTCTTTAAAACAAAAAGAGTGAAGATAAAAATATTTTTCATCTAAAATGTTCTTTATTGGTTTAATTTTATATGTAAGCAAATTTTGAGAATACAATAAAATATTTATGGTATTTTTTTTAAAAAAAAGAACATATAAAATGAATGGTTATATATATATATATATAATGGGGTATACTCGGGTCAGCATTTTGGCTCAACCAAGATTAAATCCACTACTTTTTGAATTAAGTATTAAATAAAATCAGTCCAAACCAAATATTGCTAAAAGATATTTATAGCTAATATCCAAAAATAATAAGAATTAAACTTTGACATGAATTAAATCAAAGCAACTCAATTTCAAATTTCTCGTCTCTGGACTTGTATTTTTAACAAAGTTTTTCGGCGAACATACTTGCTGATAAATTATCATGTCTGCCTTTTTTAAAATCTTTTTGAACCACCTATTAGGAAATAAATTTTGCAAGAAAATAAAGAAAAAAAGACAATAACAATCATATAATGTAAAGATTTTACATGATTCGACAATAATGTTTACTTGACAATTATATCATAATATGAACCTTCATTCACATGGGTTTCACAATTTAGCACCATCAGTCTACCTATTTATAATGTATAATTTAGAAAAGCATATAACTATTTTATTGTTAATTGATGGCTAATTATGGACTAACTATTCTTGATCGTGTAAATTGATTTTAGATATTGGGTCTATCTTGGCATCAATTAAACTATAAAAACTATCGTCACCATCCTGACAAAATAGAAGGTGACAAATTTTTTTAAATTCAAAGAGAGTATTAAAAATTAGATGTGATATAACTTAATTTAAGAAATAGTAAATTTAATTTTAATTAGTATAAAAATACTAATTCAAAAATACTCCACTATCAAAAGAAAAAAAAAGGTGGTTGTTGTTTTTAGTTGTGATTGGACACCTTATTTCTTCTACAAATTTGAATAAAATTTAAGATTATTCGTCAATAGTTGTTTGAGTTAAACAAACCAGATTTAGAGTTTGCCACCAATCTTATCATACATAGAAACATTAGACATCAAAATTATTACATAATACTAGAAAATTATAAGTAAAAAGAATCTAATCATATAATTTTGTAAAATTCAAATTTAAATGTTGGTACTCTTAACTCTTATTTGGATTCTACGTAAGCTAAAATGATGAAAAAAAAAAAAGATGCAGATGAAGATGAAGATGAAGAACTTGATTGATACAATAAATACATTTTAGACACTTAGAATGGACATAATTAATTCATTATCAAAACCAATGAACGAACAACTATTTTTATATTAACGACCAATTTGATATGAAGAATCCATACAATAAGTTGGTGGATCTGATAACCTAGGCCCACCATCATCTTTTGGCATATGTTGTGTGCCGAGAAAAGGCTTTGGAGGCATTTCTAGGGATTCGACATCTGTTTCAAGCATCTTTACAACTTCATGCATCGAGGGACGATCATCAGGCTTCAATTGTATACACCACGATGCCACTATAATCATTTTCTTTGTTGTCTTCTTTTCCTGCTCTGTGATATCTCCCAGTATTCCTAGGTCGTTTCCTTCACAAACTTGCTCATAAACCCATGAAGGAAAGTAAATTTGACTTGAATGGTCTATTAATTCACTCAAGTTCTTCCTCCTTCCTATCATGTCCATTAACAACATTCCAAAACTGTAAACATCGGCTTTATAAGAAATGCCTCCGATATTTTTGTAAAATAATTCCGGAGCTATGTATCCCATTGTTCCCCTAGCTGCAGTGAGGGCTACAATGCCATTATTTGTTGGATACAGTTTTGCTAGTCCAAAATCTGAAATTTTTGGAACAAATTTTTCGTCAAGAAGAATGTTGTGAGGCTTGATATCAAAATGCAAAATCTGCATATCACAACCTTGATGTAAATAATCAATACCACGAGCAATCCCAAGAGAAATCTCATACATTTTCTCTTTACTTAAAGTGATGCTGCTATCTTCTCTAGAAAACAAGTACTTGTCAAGAGATCCATTAGGCATGAACTCATATATAAGACCACGCTTTGATCCTTGAGCAGTAAAGCCTATGAGTTGCACCACATTGACATGATGAATTCTTCCGATAGTGTCAACTTCATTAGTAAATTCTTGCCCATTAGCTTTTGACTCGCCCAAGATTTTTACTGCTGCAAAACGACCACTACGAAGTTTTCCTTTATAAACAGTGCCACAACCTCCTTCACCCAACTTGTCCTTAAATTCGTTGGTTATCTTCTTAATATCTGAGTAAGAATACCTTACGGGCATGAGATTATCATGACTTTGCAAGAATTCTTCAATAGTGTCGTACATTGATAAATGTCTTCTTCGCCATTTGTAGATCAATAACGTTATGAGACATAAAAGTCCACAGAAGAATAATATTGCACGATATATCACTGTGTAGAGACATACCAAGAACAATCAAAGGCAGAAGCAAATATTGTTTGTTAGATTGCCATATCAACATTATTTTCTGAACAAAATGAGATTTTCATTGTGTTTGCCTCATAATTAATCCTTACAAGTTAACCATGTATTGATGGAAGCATCGACAGTTTTTAAATTTCAAATTCTTTGCACCAAAATATAAAACATTTTATGAAAAACTGCAAGAAAAAAAAGTACGTATGGCCCTTTTTAAATTTTGACATTAGTGAATTTTGATTTTATCCGTTACCTTTAAACCTTTTTTTATGTCATTAGAGTTGCTAATATGAGTCCTCAAACGTCTTAAATTTTGTAAACTAGTCATAATCCTTTAATTTTGAACAATTAATTGACTGTGATGCCTATCAACGTTTGGATAAAAACCTCTTGTCCATGAGAACATACGGATATATTTTATGCACTTTTATTAATTATTCAAATAACTAAGTGTCCCAAAAAAAATTTATAAATCACTAAGACTATTTTTTATATGGTCAAAAGATTTTCTTTTAATGGCATTGAAATCATTATTCATAAATATTGAAAAAAATTTAAGGATTTTAATATACATTAATTTGAGGCTATAATAATAAAAGCGATCTTTAACAATTGTAAAAATCAAAGAATTAGCCTTAAGTAGAAAAATTAAAAACTTGAAGGACTTATTTTCAACAATTATGAACAAAAGTCACTGAAGATACTTTCTTGCACTTTTCAATTTTTTTTTTGAATCTCATGTTTTGAGCTACAATGCTTGTGCTTCTTACATACATGCATTTTATGTTCCACAATTAATCCAAAAAAGCACAGGAAAGTACTTACCTGTGAGAAAAACTAGCGCAATGAGCAAAACTATGATAACGCTGAGGAAATCTGAAGATATGTCCTTGCTCCCAACATATTGAAAATAATCTATTATATGAAAAAAAGAAAAAGAAAATAAACTAAGAAACACAAGCAATTATATACATGTATATAATGTATTATTGTTGTACGGATAGAAATTTTGGATTTGAAAAAGAAGGTTTTTATACCAAATTAAAAAAAAAACTTTTTGATGACATCAATAATTTAATTTTCATGATAACTCGAGAATTATTGTCATTTAATCCAATAAGGTACGTATGTACAAAATTAATCCTCACCTTTGTAAATGCGGAATCCCACATGCGGTTTTCCTATAAGATTAATAAAAAATGAGTAAAATCAATATGTGAAATCTTATAGGTACCTAAAAGTGGCAACACGAACAAGAAAGAAAAATAAAAAAAAGAATAAGTGATAAGCTAGACATCACAACTTATTTCCCTGAGTTTGTTAATTAATTCAGAACTTATTTCCTATATAATGGTGTTTTTATCTAATTAGATTCAATATCATCAATTTGATTAAGAAAGTGACACCTCTCTCTATTTTTTTTTCTAGAAAAAAATATCTTTTTTCCATGGATTATTTGTCTGATTGAATTGTTTATAATATTTTATAAGATTTTTTTTTAAAAAAAATCAAGATTAGAGGTTAAAAATATTTTTAACATATTTTAAAAAAAACATAATTAACCGTAAAATATTAAAACGACGTCGTTTTGATATTTCAAATAATGATCAATCTAACGAATATTGAGCGAGTTTGAATCACATTTGTCCAATCATTAATACTTTATAATTCAAATTACACGATTCAATATTATGAATATAAAATTATCAAATCTTGATAAAATAGAGATAAAATTTGCCATTAAACCAAAAATAGGACAGGTGAATAAGGCTTTTTTTTTTTCAATGCATTGGAGTTTATCATGGAATACCCTACCGAATTATTTTTTATAATAATTGTTTGCCATGAAGGAAAGAATCTATATGTAATGTGAGCTAGCCTGCCTACCTTTCTTTCTCATTAAATTAATTTTTATAATGATCTTAACTCACCCCTTCTCGAATAGTATATCCATGTGCCACTTGGAAAATACCTGGTGATCGGCCCCATGGCTACATTTCAAGGAAAGAAAAGATCATGTCAGTGTTCAGCCTTAACAAAACCAATTCATATACCTTCAATCGACTAGAAAATATGGTAACTAAAATTTTGTTGCAATGAAGTACAGGCTTCATGTTTGAGTGAAGAACAAGACAAGTTCTTACTAAGGTAACTGAGTATACGATTAGTCAGAAAATCTGCAAGAAAAACAAGCAATTGTTAATTAGACTAGTGATCTGGATAGTACTGTTAATTGGCGGACAAAATAATGATGCACGGTGGATTTAATATACGGTTAAAAAATTAAGAAGGTAATTAATAATTTTTTTTTGAATAAAAAGTAAAAAAAATTAATAATTATGTGTTGTGTATGGGTATAAGCTTAAAAAATTATATGTTAGTAAACGAATCAAGTAAACGAGATAAGATAGAAAAACAATAAATAATCAAACAATACAATAAATTTGGATAATTAGGCAAGTGTGCCTATTTTATAACTGTACTAATAGTTCTTATTGTGTTTTTACAGTTTACAAATAACAATTCAAAAGATAATATTTATACATAAATATAGATAACTAGATTTATTAAAATTCTAATAAATTTATATACCTAATCCAATATATTGAGAATGTCATACAGATTCCATATAATGTATTAAACTACGGATTATATGTACATCAATCTCCACAACAACACGTTAACTTGAGTAATTATTTCAAATTACTAGTTTACTAATAGAAGGTGAAACTTAGTTTTACATGATATTTGAGGCAATGAAAGGATAGGACTCTTTACCTATTGCAACTCTGATTGGAGCACCATCAAGACCTGCGTTTATTTAAAAGAAGAAATGGTCAAATTATAAGTTAGTCCCTGTAATTTTATAAAACAAATTAAATAGTTTCTTCTATTATAAAAATTAATTAATTTGTGTTGATCTAATATTATTTTGTTCCAAAAAATATTTTCTTTTTTCATGGATCTTTCCATATTCTTTACTTATTTAAAAGAAGAAATAGTCAAAGCTTTCCTTCTTCTTTTTTTGACTTATTTAATATCATTTTGTTTTTTAAAAAGTCTTCTTTTGAGTTATGAAAAAAAGAAGTCAAATTACTTGAGTTTTCATTGCATCGATAATTTAATTGATTCGTATTTTATCTTTAAGAAATTAATAGGCATGCATACATTTTTTTTTTCTTCTGATAAACATTAATATTGGAGACCATTAAGGCCATTAAGGCCACCATGAGACCATTAAGCACCATGAGACCATTAAGGCCACCATGAAGAAAGGAACAAAGATGAAGGACTGGTAAGGAAAGCAGGCCAAGCAAAAGAAAAGGAGGAGATGAAAAATGGATAAGGCAAAAACCTCAGGACATGAACAAAGGCTCCAGCCCAGAGGACAGCAGAAAATTAGATTGATAAGAAAACGAAGATTTGAAGTTGTGTTTAAATGAGATATGAAGGAAATAGCAAGAATTTGAAGACACAAACATTAATATTGGAGAATCATTTTTCAAAAACAGTTCAAAGCCACTAAGACTGAAGCATGAAACCCATAGCAGCAAGAAAATAGGATGAATGGGAAAACATCCAGGCCAATCAACAAAACTCAGAACTGTAATAAAAAAGACAAACCCAGAACAGAAACATAAAGCTTACACCAATGTGACAACGAAACAGAAAAATAATGGTCATGAATTGGCAGAACACACCATCTGTTACCAATCTAAAATAAAGCAATCTGGGCTGTTATGAAATTTGTATTCAAATTTTGGTAAGCTGAGAGAGATAAAGAGAGAATAACGTACCGTATGAATCACAATATGTGCTATTATAGTTGCAGTACTGGACCTCTTTGACAGAATCACAACAGGCTGAATACCATGAGAGCTCAAACCCATATAGCAAAATATCATGGACATCTCTATAAGATATATTGGTCATATTTTCTGGCAGAAGAGATCCAGGCGCAGAATAGACCAAATTTAGCCGGCATAAGTCCGGCACCTGCAGGAAGTCGGCAGCAACCATAACGTAGGGATAACCTTCCATGATGTGGGAGCTGGGAGAAGAAATACTGCTAGACGTAGAATTATATGCAGTACTACTCCCATTTTTGCAAGAAGAAGCATCCACATCCACTATATAATCTGGAAGACTCTGTATTCGATTTGCACAACTTAAAAAAGTTAATTTAAAAGTGAAAAAGTCTGTGCGAAGCGTATCGAACCCAAAATTGTATGGAAGATAATCCCTGTAGCTGATGTAATGATCATATGCGATAAGAGATCTTTGAGGGATGGAGAAGCAATCATCCTTCTGAACAGCAGCATCCACAAGTCGAATCGTGAAGTTACTGTATTCGATTGCCTGGACATAATATTTTACCTTCTTCAAGTACAAAGTTGGACGGTTGTTTTCACAAACAAGTTCATAGCCTTTGTGGCCACAGCTTTTGGGATCGGTGTTTAATCGAAAAGGGTAGCTGATATTATGGATATAGCCGCAAGAAGAAGGAGCGCAGTAATTGTTATTCTGTCTAGCACTGCAACTATGGTGGCCGGCTAGGATCAGTAGAAAAAGAAGGGCTGCATATGCACCAAGTAGGTGCCTTAATAATCCACTGAACATTAAGACACCAAAGGTTTTGTTACACTTAGCACATATATGTGCAAATTACATGAGAAGTTCCTACCAAGTTAAGAAGAGGAAGGCAGATTTATGGCTTCTAGCTACAAACTCAAGCTAGTCGACATCTTTGAGCATCCTTTTGACTTTCTGCATTTTCAATTATTGGACTCCTTTTCAACGAATCCCAAGGATTAAAGATGGCATCTAGATCTGAATCATATGTTTTTTGCCATCAAATTTGAACATTGAATTGCTGTTGGATAATATAAAATCAGTGACGTACATAAAGCCAAAAGACACATGGTCTTTGCTTTTCTATTGCATTTTTTTTTTTATTTCAATGCACGACATGACATGACAAAGGCTCTACATAACTGAGAACCTTACCTTTAATCAGAAAGAAAATTGCTAATAAAAGAAAAGAAAATGGCTTTTTGGGCCTTAATTATAGTAATAATTTTAATTAGCGTTTAATAATACTAATTTACTCAAGGCAGGTTGACATAATGGGAAATGATACTACAAGACTCCTAAGTGTTTGAAAATAAAACTGTGACGCAGCCCATTGTACCGGGTGTTTTATATATCTGTTTCAACGTTCTAAAGGCGTTGCCTTTGGCTTTTGCCACTTGTAGATTTAATATATATGGTTGGAAAACGTTATCAACATTGAATGGAGAAATCAGGAGGTAGCTACTTCTCTATTCCCAAGAACATTAATTGTAAATGGAAATACCAGTAGGGCAGCTTGTATAGTTGTTTTTCATAACAGATGACTTTTTCCATTCAAAATTCTATCTTTCGACCTCAATCGGGTGTACATTAATGAACCAATTGCGCATTAAATAATAATGTGCCTTTCACGTCCATTTCAGATACGTATATTTTGATAAAATCGATCAATTGGAATTAATTACTCAAAGAAAAAGAAGATGAGCAAGCTAAGAATTCTATCCAATTCCAAGAGATGGAAAAAGTTGGATATTGAGGGTGAGAGTGAAGGTGGAATTTCTGATACTAACGCTAAAACTTGTAGCCACATTATAGAGAAGCACCAAATGACTGAAATTATGTGACATTATGCATACTGCATCTATTTGTTTTTTCAAAAGCCTCCATAGCATTCAATCTGGAGACCCAAATGATGGGTAATCCAAAACAAGGCCCATCACATAAATGATGGGCCTAAACTTTTAACATACTGCATTTGTATTGTCCTAGGATTGGTTTGGGCCTAAATTTTTAACATATTTATTTACTTTTAACGTACATGCAGAATTCATATGATTTGATTTGTTGGCATATACAGAGTTGCTTGTAATTTGGTCTCCCCCCGGGGAAATCCTAAATTCTACCCCAATTTATACCTGAGAGAGCCTCCTCACCCTGGGATCAATTCCCGCCTCCTTCATAAGCCTGTTTTGTATTTTGGGTCTGCATGGACAGAGCAAAATGTGTATGTTGCAGTGTGTTTGTTTGTGCATTTGGTTTGGTTTATTTTGCAGGTGCAGCGTGACAGGAGGATGTACACTGCAATTCTCTAACGGGAATTGCAGTACAAGGAGGGGGAGCGGGCAGCCTTGTCCCTTCTGGCCTGTTGTCTTCACTAGTGAAGGTGAAACAGGGCCAATGGTGGTAGAATGCAGGAACTGGCAAAGCTAATTAGTTTATGAAAGGTTTTGATAATAATCTTGTAGTTGAAATGGCAGACATATTATCATCTTGCCATCAAAAGATTTGAGTTCTCCTTCAAAAATGAAAAAAAAAAAAAAAAAAGAAGAAAAAGAAGAAGAAAGATTTCTTTGTCTGCGCTAGCTTTGCTTAAATATTAAGTAAGGTTTAATTTACTTATTTCTGGCGGAATTGTATTTAGTTTACCTCATATATATGAGAGCAATATTAAGATGATCAATAAATTATAATAATCTTGCTTCATAATTTATATCCAAAATACTGTTAATATTTTTAAAATTATATCTGTAATAAGAAAATTTCAAAATATCAAAAGACCTTTTAAGTACGAAAGAAAGTTCTATAATATTTTCAAAATTTTAGATAGTTTAACAAAATATATAAAAACTAATCCTCACTTGTATAAATCGAGAATTCCAAGAAAGATGGCTCATTTGGAACGCAATTAATTACATTGGACGATAGGATTTTGGTTATATATACTGCTTGACATCTTGCTTTTTTTTTTTTTTTTTTTTTTTGTAGAGTTGCAATTTTTTTTTAATGTATTGTATGAGTTATTATCTTATGATTCATGGAATATTTTTATAATTTTTTTTTAAGTTTAGAATTTATTTTTAGAAAATTGATTAAAAAAATAAATAAATACCCGATTTGGGTCAAGTATCGAGTAGGTACTCATTGGATGGAGAAAGTTCTCCACTCAATCCGATCCAACTGAATTGGAGGCATGCGATGGACTTAGATTCAAATTTTGAATCGAATGCAGGTGGAGCAAAATCCTACTTCAATCCAATCTATTGTCATCTCTAATAACATAAACATGCATTAGTTATGCGACGCCTGCGAACAAAACATCAATAATAGTGAAAAAACGAAAAAGTGTTTATGACAAAACGATGGCTAAAAGCAATTTCAAACAAATTCCTACTTTCTTTGTCTTTTTTTTATTATTAAAAATAAAATCATGTTACGATATGATTAGTGAAATTTTCAACTCGAATCATACGGAATTGACAAAACAAGTAGAATAACTTAACAAGCACTATAAATAAATAAATAAAGAAAAAAATATAGAAAATGAGTCCACTAGAATTGCAGGGTGTTGCTTTATTATTGTTCCGCAATTATGACAAATTAAAACACATGTTTTTTTTTTTTTAAAAAAAAAAGATAGAACACATGCATTTCCTGTGTAAGAATACATAAATGGGTATAAGAGAGACATTTCCAAGTGATTCAATTCTCCAACTACCTACCCTCAAATGGACTCTAGGTTACACTAATCATCTTCACACATTCATATGTTGCTATTACAGCACTCGTTAACTATAAGTTTGAACGAGGCATCCATACATATATACTTGATTAGATAATTTTAAAACTAAAGTGAAAAGAAATTAAAGATAGAGCACTTAATTTCTACATTTAATAAAGTATAAAAACTTAAAGTATACATAATTAATTTGGTGTCAAAATTTATAAATACACAACTACATTTATATCAACGACCAACTTGATATGAAGAATCCATATAATCATTTGGTGGTTTTGATAAACTTATTGGATTAGTCTTATCATTACTTGTTGTTATATGTTGTGGAGTGAGAAAAGGCTTAGGAGGCATTTGTAGAGATTCAACATCCGCTTCAAGCATCTTTACAACTTCATGCATTGAGGGACGATCATTCGGCTTTAATTGTATGCACCATAATGCCACTATAATCATCTTCTTCGTTGCTTCTTTTTCTTGTTCCGTTGCATGATCTCGCTAGTTTTATGTCTTTTCCTTCACTAACTTGGTCATAAGCCCACGAAGGAAAGTAAATTTGGCTTGCATGGTCCGCCAATGCATTCAAATTCTTCCTTCTTCCTACCATTTCCATTAACAACATCCCAAAACTATAAACATCGGCTTTGTAAGACACGCCTCCAATATTTCGTATAACGGTTCGAGAGCCATGTATCCAAGCGTTCCTCTAGCCGCGATAAGAGACACCATGTTATTATTTGTTGGATACAATTTTGCTAGTCCGAAATCCGAAACTTTTGGAACAAATTTTTCATCAAGAAGAATGTTGTGAGGCTTGATATCAAAATGCAAAATTTGCATATCACAACCTTGATGTAGATATTCAATGCCACGAGCCACCCCAAGAGAAATCTCGTATATTTTCTCGTTGCTTAGTGTACTCGCTACCATGTTTAGAAAAAATATACTTTTCTAAAGACCCATTAGGCATGAATTCGTATATAAGAGCATGCTTCGATCCCTCAACAAGTAAAGCCTATAAGTTGCACCACATTGACATGGTGGATTCTTCCGATAGTGGCAACTTCATTCATAAAGTCTTGTCCGTTAGCTTTGGACTTGCTCAAAATTTTTATTGCTGCAAAACGACCACTACGAAGCTTTCCTTTATACACGGAACCAAAGCCTCCTTCACCCAACTTGTCGACAAATCTATTGGTTATCTTCTTAATCTCCGAGTAAGAGTACCTTCCGGGCATGAGGTTATTCTCTTGACTTTGCAAGAATTGTTCAATATTGTCATACATAGATAAATGTCTTCTTCGCCATTTGTAGATCAATAAAGCAACGAGACAAGGAAGCCCACAAAGAAATAATAGTATACGATATATCACTCGCGTAGAGACATTACAAGAACAATCAATGGAAGAAATTTATATTGTTTCCTTATCAACAATTTTGTTTTTTGTTTTTTTTTTCAGAACGAAAATGTAATTTTCATGGTATTATTTTATAATAAACCCTTCCAATTTAATCCTGTATCCATAGATATGCTTAAATCCAAGCAGTAACATTTTTCAATTTTCAAATTCATATCACCATAAAAAATATTTTTCTAATTCTTTATTGATTTTAGGGAAAATGCAAAGGAAAAAAATAATGTGGTTTGCCTATTTGTTCCTTTTAAACCTTTCACTTTAGTGATTTGTGTTGCATGCATTACCTTTCGTAGCTTTTTTCTTTTCATAATAAAAGTTGCTAATACGGGTCAAACTTTTTCAATTTTGTAATTGCATGCATCCATAATCCTTTAATTTCGAACAATTGACTATGATGACTCTCAACGCTGTAATAAACACACCTTGAGCATGAAACATACCAATATTTATGCACTTCTTTTACACAAATTGAAAAAAATAAAAATACTCAAGCTATTTTTTTATGATTAAAAATGTTTCTATCGATAGCATTGAAATCCTTGTTTATAATTGAGAAAACTATATGGATATGAATATACACTAATCTGAGACAAAAATAATATAATTTTTTTCAATTGTGAAAAATAAATTATTTGGACTCAATTAGAAAAATTAAAAACTTGAAAGGCTGATTTTCAACAATTAAATAGATGGAAATGGTAAAAAGCCAAGGGATGAAGCCACAAGCCACTGAAGTACCAAAATTTGAAGACGGTATGTCTTTAGCTGCAATATTCGTGCATTTTATGTTTCTTAATTAATTGAAAAAAAAAAAAGAACCAAAAAGGTACTTACCGATGAGAATAAGTAGAGTAGAGAGACAAACTGTGAGAACTACAAGAACTCTCCGTAAAACTGGAGAGGTGCTGCTGGCAACTTCATTATATCCCGTTTCTGCCAAATGAAAACATGAAGAAAATGAAAAAGAAAGAAAGAAACTATGAAACACAAATTATATGTATTCTAAAAAGGAATATATAATTTACGCAGCCAGTATCCTTCAGTAAAAGTAAATAAATAATTATATAAAATTGTTATGTAGTACTTAGTATATGAAAGTTTTTGAGATTAATCTTGTAGTTGAAATGGCAGATATATTATACCCTTTCCATCAAGAGATTTGGGTTCTCCTTCAAAAATGGAAAAGAAGAAGAAGAAATTAAGATTTCTTTGTGTAAGTAGCTAGTTTGCTTAATTAATTAAGGTTTAATTTACCTATTTCCAGTGGAATTGTATTTAGTTAACCTCCTAAATATGATCCCAATATTAAGATGATCAACAAATTATAATAATAAAGAAATTTTGGGTAAAAATAAAGTTTTGTAATCCTCACTCATGTCACTGAAGAGTTGATTGAAGAATTCTCCTCCAGATGTTCCTACAGTAAGAGAGAATGAGTAAAGTCAATTTGCAAAATCTTATTGTATCATTTTCATATATCATATATTAGGATCAAAAAATGATTTATCAAGCCAATATTTGGTTTTTTTTTTTTTTTTATGTAACAATATATATAGAAATTGAAAAGTTTTTACCTAGTCTGTACATCTCTCCAATTGTTATCCCCAATGCAACTGCATGCAAAACAAACTATTAGAAAATGATTTATTTTAAATTTTTATTAAAAAGTGAAAGTCAGTGTTACAGGATATCTAATTTGGTGTGTAAAATTTAAAGAGTGACAGAAAAAAATATTTTAAAAAATTAGAAATAACATTCTAAAAGAGAGGTGCAAATTATTTAAATTTGAGAGATAAAGATATTCTATATTTTTTTCTCACTAAATGCCTATATCTAGATTTATAATATATGAAAGAGGTCATGGAAAAAATCAAATGATCAGAACATGACTATGACTATGAAAACTCTGTTTTTAAAACCATGTCTATATTATTTTCTTGGACCTGTAAAAGCATATATGCCATTACATTTGGAGCTAATTAAATATAATAGATTATTTATGTGGATGTAACATATTTACCACCATAATTTATTTATTTTTTATTTTTTATTTTAAAAAAATTGGAGGATTTTGTAAAAAAAAAAAAAAAAAAGAGATTTTTAGGGGCCAACGCCAGCCCTGGCGCCTCCTTAAATTTACCCCCATCACCATTGACTACATCATTTTACTAAGAGTACTCCACAATGTCATTGCTTAATAAAATAAATAGGATTATAATTATCTAATTTCAACAGTTAATATATAGCCATATGAAAAAGCTGCTTACCTAATGCAGTTTCGAATGGATTAAAGCCTGCGATTATTTAAAAAAGAAAATAGTCAAGTTCATTTGATTTTTCAGAGCAATATATATTTATATATATTCAAATTGAGGTAATTAAGGTGAGAGAGAGAATAACTTACGGTCATCATAACAATATTCCCACATGGAGGTTTCATTAAAGTAACTGCACGGGTTCTCTTTACCAAAATTACAACAGGCCCAGGACCAATCAAGCTCAAAACCATACACCAAAATATCATGGACATATTTATAGGATATATTGCTACTAATATCTTTCCCAGTAGATGAAAGCAACTGATAAATCAAATTTATACGGCATAAGTCCGGTATATCCAGAACTGTCAGCATTTCAACATGAACAATGACATAGGAATAACCTTCCGTATCGTGGGAGATGGGAGAAGTAATATCAAACGTAGAATTATGAAATCCAGTACTCTCACTTTTGCAAGAAGAAGTATCCAAAATGTTAACAGCACTCTGTATTGGATTTGCGCAAGTTAAGAAAGCTAATTGAGAGCCCACTTCAACTGGACTATAAATACCGTCTGTGTAGAACTCATTTACTTTTAAAGTATGTTGAGGGATGGAGAAGCAATCATCCTTCTGAACACCAGCATCTGCAAGTCGAATTGTGAAGTTTTTGTAATTGATTCCCTGAACATAATATTTTCCCCCTTCAAGTATAAAGTTGGACGGTTGTTTTCACAAATAAGTTCATAATTTTTGTGGCCACAGCTTTTGGGATCGGTATTTAATCGAAAAGGGTAGCTAATATTATGGAGATTGCCACAAGAAGAAGGAGTGCAGAAAGTATTATCGTTCTTTCTAGCACTGCAACTATGGTGGGTGGATAGGATGAGTAGAAAAAGAAGGGCTGCATATGCACCGAAGAGGTGCCTTAATATTCCACTGAACATTGAGAGTAAACTTTCAGGGAAATAAAATTATGGTTTGGCTGCACTTTACATGAACGGTTTATGGCACATATATAAGTATATTATGTGGTTCTCCACTTATCTACCATATACAATCTTGGATCCATCATCATTCAATCCGAAAGGGAATCGACGGGGCCGAAGTCTACGAATTATTTATTGCAGGATCATCGATCAAAGAGTTAGGAAATTACATGAAGAGTTTACAAAGTCAAGCTAGGGTACATCTTGGACCCATTCCCATTGAATATATGGAGAGAGATGTGGCCTTAAAACATGGTGAAGAAGTTAGTGCATGTGGAGTAAGGAAAAAAAAATGCGCAGGGAGTCTTCATATGAAGTTTCCAAGTCATTATACTTTAAAAAAGAGAAGTCACTTTCACTGTATATTTTACTGTTTTTTTCACTGTTCAATGAACAAGTAATGGATTTCAAGTATTTGTTCAATAACCATTACTCATTCAATTAAATAATTTTTAAAAAGGACATTTGTTGAACAAATAATTAATTTAATAAATTTGAGTGATAATATATTAGACAAGACAACATATAAATTATGTCAACAACAACAACCAAATAAGTCTAAATTATAAAAATATTCTTAAAATATATTTATTCATAGTATAATAATCAAATGAATTATTTCAACCCATATATATGTTTTGGTAAAATATGATTTGAGTATCGATTTAGAAAAAACTAAACCCATATCCAAAACAAGACTTTTGGTATTTATATCTGAACCAAAACTATTTTTTTATTATATATTATTAATTATTACTTTCAAAAAATGACTTTTGGTATAATTTATTATTTATCACTTTCAGGTTTTCAGAAAGGCGGTCAGATTTCAAACGTTACCAAAGCATATGAGTTATAAATCTGTCTCTTCTCCTGCCACGTACCTAGCTCTAGCCTGGCATTGATGAATTTTCAGACAGAATGCGGTACACGGAGCTCTAAAAATATATTTTGAAGTATTGGATGGTCTATCATATGGCATGAACCTATTAGGTGACCAAACTACTTGAGACCAGTTCAACTGTCTCTCTGAAAAAATATAGAAATAATAAGCCAATTATTGTTTCAGACAATCCATCTCAGGCATTGGATATGCATGTTTGAGCACGAATTGGCTTAAATATTGAATTATTGGTTTGACCTTGAAAATTCTTCAAGAGAATTGATAAGCCCTAGGGCTCATATATAAATTTCAAAATTTCTCAATTCAGCTAAACTAAGCATTGCTACAAATCCTTCATGGCACCTATCTATGAATTAGGCATTTATTTTTAGCATGAGTCCCCAGTTAAGTGAGTTTATTTTATAGAACTTTTTTTTATTTTAATAAAAATATTTTGATCAAAAAAGTTATTTATGATCAAAAAAATTACTCTGAAAAGAAATTAGAACTGCGATACTTGATGGAGCACTTAATTGATTGGATAATTTTAATACTAAAGTGAAAAGAAATTAAAGATGGAGCACTTAATTGATACAATCAATAAAGTGTAAAAACTTAAAAGTATATATAATTAATCTAGTGTCAAAATCTATAAATACACAAATACATTTACATCAACGACCACATTTGTATGAAGAATCGATATAATCATTTGGTGGTTCCGATAAACTTATTGGATCATTCTTATCATTACTTAGTGTTATATGTTGCAGGGGTGAGAAAAGGCTTAGGAGGCATTTGTAGAGATTCAACATCTCCTTTAAGCATGTTTAAAACTTCATGCATTGAGGGACGATCATTCGACTTTAATTGTATCCACCATAATGCCATTATAATCATCTTTTTTCTTACTTCTTTTTCCCGTTTCGTTGCATGATCTCGCTAGTTCTATGTCTTTTCCTTCACTATGTTGATCATAAGCCCACGAAGGAAAGTAAATTTGGCTTAAATGTCCGCCAATGCATTCAAATTCTTCCTTCTTCCTACCATTTCCATTAACAACATCCCAAAATTATAGACATTAGCTTTGTAAGTGACGCCTCCAATACTTTTGTATAATAGTTCAAGAGCTATGTATCCAAGCGTTCCTCCGGCCGCAATAAAAGACACCATGTTATTATCTATTGGATATAATTTTGCTAGCCTAAAATAAAAAAATTTTGGAACAAATTTTTCATCAAGAAGAATGTTGTGAGGCTTGATATCAAAATGCAAAATTTGCATATCACAACCTTGATGTAGATATTCAATGCCACGAGCCACCTCAAGAGAAATCTCGTATATTTTCTCGTTGCTTAGTGTAATGCTACCATGTTTAGAAAAAAATATACTTTTCTAAAGTCCCATTAGGCATGAATTTGTACACGCTTCGATCCCTCGACAAGTAAAGACTATAAGTTGCACCGCATTGACATGGTGAATTCTTCCAATAGTGAAAACTTCATTCATAAAGTCTTGTCCATTAGCTTTGGACTTAAAATTTTTATTGCTGCAAAACGACTACTACAAAGCTTTCCTTTATACACAAAACCAAAGCCTCCTTCACCCAACTTGTCGAGCAAATCTATTGGTTATCTTCTTAATCTCCGAGTAAGAGTACCTTCCGAGCATGAGATTATTCTCTTGACTTTGCAAGAATCCTTCAATATTGTCATACAAAGATAAATGTCTTTTTCGTCATTTGTAGATCAATAAAGCAACGAGACAAGGAAGCCCACAAAGGAATAATAATATACGATATATCACTGCGTAGAGACATTCCAAGAACAATCAATGGAAGAAATTTATATTGTTTCCTTATCAACAATTTTGTTTTTTTGTTTTTTTTTTCAAAACGAAGATGTAATTTTCATGGTATTGCTTTATAATAAACCCTTCCAATTTAATCATCTATCCATAGATATGCTTAAATCCAAGCAGGAACATTTTTCATTTGTCATTTTTCAAATTCATAGCACCATAAAAAAATATTTTTCAAATTCTTTATTGATTTTAGGGAAAATGCAAAGAAAAAAAAATTTGTTTTGCCTATTTGTTCCTTTAAAACGTTTTCAGTTTAGTGATTTGTGTTGCATGCATTACCTTTTATAATTTTTTTTTGTCCTTTTCATAATAAAAGTTGCTGAAACGAGTCAAAATTTTTCAATTTTATAATTGCATCCATAATCCTTTAGTTTCGATTAATTGATTGTGATGACTCTCAACACTTTAATAAACACCTCTTGAGCATGAAACATACCAATATTTATGCACTTCTTTGACACAAATGAAAAAAAAATTAAAACACTCAAGCTATTTTTTTATGATTAAAAAAGTTCCTATCGATAGCATTAAAATTCTTGTTTATAATTGAGAAAACTATAAGGATATGAATAGACATTAATTTGAGATGAAAATAATATAAATTTGTTCAATTGTTAAACATAAATTATTTGGACGCAATTAGAAAAATTAAAAACTTGAAAGGCTGATTTTCAACAATTAAATGGATGGAAATAGTAAAAAGCTACGAGATGAAACCACAAGCCACTGAAGTAACAAAATTTTAGCTGCAATATTTTTGCATTTTATTTTTCTTAATTAATCCTTAAAAAAAAGGAACCAAAAAATACTTACCGATGAGAATAAGTAGAGTGTATAGACAAATTATGAGAAATACAACAACTCTTTGTAAAACTGAAGAGGTACTGCTGAGCACATAACTATATAAATCTTTTGCCAAATGAAAACATGAAGAAAATGAGAAAGAAGAAAGAGAAAGAAAGAAACTACGAAACACAAATTATATGTATTCTAAAAAGGAATATATAATTTAGGCAGACAGTATCCTTTTATAATAATTTATTCAGTAAAAGCAAATAAATAATTATATAAAATTGTTATCTAGTACTTAGTATATGAAAGTTTTTGCGATTAATCTTGTAGTTAAAATGGCAGGCATATTATACCCTTTCCATCAAGAGATTTGGGTTATCCTTCAAAAATTAAAATAAAAAAAAATGACAATGAAGAAGAAGAAGAAAGATTTCTTTGTTTAAGTAGCTAGTTTGCTTAATTAATTAAGGTTTAATTTACCTATTTCCGATGGAATTGTATTTAGTTTACCTCTTAAATATGATCCCAATATTAAGATGATTAACAAATTATAATAATAAAGAAATTGTGGGTAAAAATAAAGTTTTGTAACATCTTCAAATTTTTATATAGTATAATAAAATATACAGAAAACTAATCCTCACTCATGTCACAGTAGAGTTGATTAAAGAATTCTCCTCCCGATGTTCCTACATTAAGAGAGAATGAGTAAAGTCAATTTGCAAAATCTTATGGTATCATTTTCATATATCATCTATTAGGATCGAAAAATGATTGAGGTAAATTTATCCAACCACTATTTAGGTTTTTTATTTAACAATCTATACATAGAAATTGAAAGAATTACCTCGTCTACGTATCTCTGCAATCGGTATCGTCCATGCGATTGCATGCAAAACAAACTATTAGAAAATGATTTATTTTAAATTTCTATTAAAAAGTGAAAGTTAGTGTTACAGGATTATAAACATAGAATTTAATGATGCAAAATTTATATCTTTTAGCCTTTGTTGATTACATGTACTACAGCTCTATATATATATAAGGTCTGTAGCTGCAGGATAATTACAATGCAATTTAATCCTTAGCTAAGATGTTTACATAGAACTCTCTGTTAGATAAGCTTGAGTTGTTGAGCTAAAGTTTATCCCCGTATTTTCCGTACGAGAGAGTTCTATTTGATCATGGTCTCTACCAATATCCTTGATATGCCCCCGCAAGCTGATTGTGGTGTCAACTACGAAAAACTTATGCCTATGATCTTCATGCAAGCTTCTTGAAAGAGGCTTTATTAGGGAGTTAGCAAGCTGGTCTTGAGAGGCAACATGGACAACATTTAGAGTGTTAGCTTGTACTTGGGCATGAACAAAGTGAAAGTCCAAACCGATGTGCTTCATCCTACCGTGGAAGACTCGGATTTTTGCATAGGTACGTAGTGCTAATGTTGTCATAAAACACCGTAGGAACTGAATTGAGAGGTAAGTGAAGTTCACCGAGTAAGTTTATGATCCAGCTTGAGTTTAGCTACCGAAGCCGCAATAGCACGATACTCGCCTTTAGTTGATGAATGAGCTATCGTCCTTTGTTTCTTAGAGCACCAACCGATGGGGTTGGCTCCTAGAAACACAACATATGTTGAAGTTGATATTCTATCATTGAGATCTCCCGCCTAGTTAGCATCCGAGTAAGCCTTAAAACCTAGTGATGAGGAAGCTTGAAGATGAAGACCAAAGGAGACAATCTGCTTCGAGGTAGCGAAGCACTCTTTTGGCAACTCGTCTAGTGAGAGGCACGAGGATCGTGCATAAATTGAGAGAGTTTATTCACCGTATAACAAATGTCGGGACGTGTAAGGGAGAGGTATTGAAGAGCTCCAATTATCACACGAAATTATTTGGCATCGGTAGGAGGTTGGCATCGACGGCAGCCTAATTTTTCTATCGTAGACATTGGGCTATGAACGCCCTTTGCCTCAAGCATGTTATGCTTATGTAACGGATCAATAATTTATTTCTACCGTGTTAAGAATAAACCTTGTTTGTTTCTTATAACTTCAATGCCAAGAAAGAAATTGAGATCCCCAAGGTCCTCGAGGGAAAATCGAGTAGCGATAGCATGAACTCGCCTTTTCAACTATAGTGGAAGAGTTCCCCGTGAGTATAATGTCATCCATATATACTAGCAAAAATATACATGTACTTCCTTTGGAAAATATGAATAAGTAAGGCATCTAAGTGAGAGTTTTGAAAACCATATGATAGAAGAAATGTTCTTAGTCCATGGTCCCATGCCCTTAGTGCTTGCTTGAGGCCATAAATGACCTCGTGAAGTCAACATACATGATTTGGAAACTATGGGTGTGAGAATCCGTGTGGTTGCTTCATAAACACACATTCCTCGAGGCCGCCTTGGAGGAAGGCATTGTTTATGTCAAACCGACGTAATGGCCGGTGTTGTTGGACAAGCAAAAGCCAATATCAATCGTGTTGTGGTGGGCTTGATAACCGGACTATAAGTTTTAAAAAAATCCACTCCAGGTTGTTCTTTAAACCTTTGTGCAACTAGCCGAGCTTTATATCAATCAATGGTTCCATCAAGCTTACGTTTAATTTTGTATATCCACTTGCATCCCATCGGATTTTATGATGAGTCGTGGGAACAAGATCCTATGTTTGATTATGAACTAAGGTATCAAATTTCGTGTTCATAGCTATGCGCCATCGAGGATATTTTTGAGCTTGTGCAAAGGTGGAGGGAGTAGTACCGTAGTCACCGTAAGATAATCAAATATAACTTTATGTTTAAAAATATGATTTTTTGATCTAGTGACAATACCGAGGGTGCTCGGGTGAACGGGAGAGCCGACCGATGTCGAGGAGTGAGACCATGGTGAGCACTCGTAAAGGCCTCGTTATTGGACGTGAAGCTTGTGGTTCGCTGGAGCAGGAGGTTCACTTGATACGGGTACGAGACTAGGCATTAGAATAGCGAGAATCATGAATAGTCCGATTGATTAGATTAGGCTTAGGTGGTATGTCATGGCATGGAGATGCATTCATCTAACTAGATATTTGAGATGGAGTTACACGAACTACATAGAAGGGGTGAGTTTGGAAAGGAAATAGTCTTCAATGAAGATCACATATTGAGATAGATAGATGCAAGAAGTTATAGGGCCTAAGTATTGGTAACAATTGTGGGATTTAGAATAGCCAAGGAAGACACATGGGTTAGATTTGGGTTTAAGTTTGTGATTCTAATGAGGTTTAAGCCATGGATAACATAGGTAGCCGAAGACATGAAGGTTGTGATAATTAGGAGAGGTGTGAAACGAGAGATGCAAATGGTGATGTGTTTGGACAATTGGGAGTGGGCATTTTGTTTATGAGGTATATCGCAATCCGACATGCATATGTCCAAAATTATAGTGGTGTAGAAGAGTGATGAAGAAGAGTGTGTTGTTTCTAGAATATGTCTTTGACGATGTTCGAGTAAGTCCAACACGTTGTGGTATATAGGGTGGAGAGAAAAGATGTTGAATCCAATTAGTTGAGAGGAAATGAGTGAGTCCAAGGTACTCACCACCTCCATTTGAGTATACTCGTAATAATGGGTAGATGAAAGTATTTTTCCACAAGTAATTTGAACTTTTCAAAGACTAGAGTAACTTTAGATTTTCGTTTGAGTGGATATAGCCAAATATACTTCGTGTAATGATCTACAAAGATTACATAATAACGAAAGTCATCACATGAAGTAATTGGAGCGGGACCCCAAACATCCGTATAGATTAGTTCAAGTGGTCCGGAGCTTGTTAAAGATGAAACACCAAATGGCAGCTTGTGACTTTTATGACAAAGGCAGGAATTGCAATGATTGGAAATTGAAGATTTTGGGAAGGGGAGATTATGAGCGAGTGAGAACTTGTCGAAGAGTGCGTGCGTTTAGATGGCTAAGGCGTTGATGCCATAGTGAGTATGTGTGTCCGTGGCTTGCAAAAAACCTGGAATGGAAAATGATTTTTGTGCACTTGGCCATTCATAGAGATGTCCTTTACTCGGCCTCGAACGAGTATCGCCCCGTGGTTAAGTCCTTCATAATAAAAAAAGATGAAAAGAATTCAATCGAGGTTTTATTCAAATTACAAAGCCGAGATACCGACAATAAATTATGTTAGATTTTAGGAGCACATAGAACATTTTATAGTGTAAAAGAGTGAGTGGGGATAACAAGCTTGATAGAACTCGTATGAGAAATAGGAATGTTGTTACCATCTCCAATAATGATATCATCATTGCCATTGTACTCGCAGTGAAAAGACATGTTCCGAATATCCGAGGTTATGTTATGGGAGGCACTCGAGTCCAAGACCCGAGTTACTTTCGAGTGGGCATTGAGGTGCATCTTATGAAATTAACTTGGGGCTCGGAGAAGTGTGACCTACAAGCTTTGATAGTGTGCCCATATCTATCACATATTTGGCATTGCATCTTATGTTTATTTGCCTACATAAGAGGAGATTGCCGATGGGAGTTGTGATGATCCGACGAGGAATACTTTGATTGCAAGGAGTGTGATGAGTTGTCGATGTTATGATGACTCGCCCCTAGATTTGGTGTAGGAGGCCAAGTTATAATGATTGCTACCTCTATGAGGTCTATTGAAGTAGCTACGTCGATGAAATTGGGTAGTGACAAGGGTGGGATCTTTCTTGACCTCATCATGTATCGGAAAGATTTCATGATCGATGAGCTTGTCAAACAGCTTTTCATAGGTGATAGGAATATCTCGAGCACGGATAGTCGTATGATTGCTTTGTAATTAGATCCAAGTCCACCGAGAATCTTAATTACTAGTTCATCATTGTTGAGTGGGGAGCTAGCTATGGCTAGTTCATCTGCAGTTGTCTTTTACCTCCCTTAGATAATTAGCTATAGGTTTGGTATCTTTAACTATTTTGGCTAAGCTTGCTCTTAAACCATAGATTCTGGTTTGAGACTTATTTGCATAAGTTGTTGATATATTGTCCCATGCTAGTTTAGAAGTAGACGCCGTTACAACTAAGGGTGCAATGGTGGCATCAACGAGAGGACAAGATGGTATTTCTTAGTAAGTTATCTTACCTCTCGCCATCGTTTAAATTCGGGATTGGGTATGGTGTGACCTTCATGTTGAATGGTGTTGATCTGGGCATGACTATGATCCATCCACTTAGTTCATGAGATCATACCCAAATAACGGGGTAGTAAGTTGTGCCCTCCATGTTGAATAGGTTCTACTGCTAGTGAGTTTAAAGGGAAGTTAGGCTGCTGCATTGAAGCCGATCGGAGTTAGGAAGGGATGGTGTTGTTTGGGTTACCATGGCTTGTTCGTGGTTGGTTATTTTGGTTAGAGGATGAGGTGCTTCCATGGTTTGTTTCTATTGGATCTAGCTCGTTGGAGCTTAATAGAGCTCGATACCATATAAACATAGAATTTAATGATGCAAAGTTTGTATCTTTCGACCTCTCGTCAATTACATATACCTGCAACTCTATATATATAGGGACCGTAGTCGTTGGATAATTACAACGCAAGATAATCCTTAGCTAAGATGTTTAAATAGAACTCTTTGCTAGATAAGCTTGAGTTGTTGAGCTAAAGTTTATTCCTATACTTTACGTACAGAGAGTTGTATTTGATCATGGTCTTTACCGGTATCCTCGATCGGGATATCTAATTTGGTGTGTAAAATTTAAAGAGTGACAAAAAAAAAAAATTAGAAATAACATTCTAAAAGAGAGGTGCAAATTATTTAAATTTAAAATTGATTAAAAAATAAATAAAAACCCAATTTGGGTCGGTATCGAGTAGGTACTCATTGGATGGAGAAAGTTCTCCACTCAATCCGATCCAACCGAATTGAATGCGATTGACTTAGATTCAAATTTTGAATCGAATGCAGGTGGAGCAAAATCCTACTTCAATCCAATCCATTGTCATCTCTAATAACATAAACATGCATTAGTTATGTGAGGCCTGCGAACAAAACATCAATAATAGTGAAAATCCTACTTAAAAAGCTCAACCAATTCGATGCCAATGGGTAAGTTAAGAAACGAAAAAAGCATTTATGACAAAAAGATGGCTAAAAGCAATTTCAAACAAATTCCTACTTTTTTTTGTCTTTTTTATTATTAAAAATAAAATCATGTTACGATATGATTAGTGAAATTTTCAATTCAATCATACGGAATTGACAAAACAAGTCGAATAACTTAACAACACTATAAATAAATAAAAAAAGAAAAAAATATAGAAAATGAGTCCACTACAATTGCGGGGTGTTGCTTTATTATTGTTCCACAATTATGACAAATTAAAACACATGTTTTTTTTTAAAAAAAACAAGGTAGAACACATGCATTTCCTGTGTAAGAATACATAAATGGGTATAAGAGAGACATTTCCAATGATTCAATTCTCCAACTACCTACCCTCAAATGGACTCTAGGTTACACTAATCATCTTCACACATTCATATGTTGCTATTACAGCGATACGTTAACCTGTAAGTTTGAACGAGCATCCATACATATATACTTGATTAGATAATTTTAAAACTAAAGTGAAAAGAAATTAAAGATGGAGCACTTAATTTATAAATTTAACAAAGTATAAAAACTTAAAGTATACATAATTAATTTGTTGTCAAAATCTATAAATACACAACTACATTTATATCAACGACCAACTTGATATGAAGAATCCATATAATCATTTGGTGGTTTTGATAAACTTATTGGATTAGTCTTATCATTACTTGTTGTTATATGTTGTGGAGTGAGAAAAGGCTTAGGAGGCATTTGTATAGATTTAACATCCGCTTCAAGCATCTTTATAACTTCATGCATCGAGGGACGATCATTCGGCTTTAATTGTATGCACCATAATGCCACTATAATCATCTTCTTTGTTGCTTCGTTTTCTTGTTCCGTTGCATGATCTCGCTAGTTTTATGTCTTTTCCTTCACTAACTTGGTCATAAGCCCACGAAGGAAAGTAAATTTGGCTTGCATGGTCCGCCAATGCATTCAAATTCTTCCTTCTTCCTACCATTTCCATTAACAACATCCCAAAACTATAAACATCGGCTTTGTAAGACACGCCTTCAATATTTCGTATAATAGTTCGGGAGCCATGTATCCAAGCATTCCTCTCGCCGCAATAAGAGACACCATGTTATTATTTGTTGGATATAATTTTGCTAATCCGAAATCCGAAACTTTTGGAACAAATTTTTCATCAAGAAGAATGTTGTGAGGCTTGATATCAAAATGAAAAATTTGCATATCACAACCTTGATGTAGATATTCAATGCCACGAGCCACCCCAAGAGAAATCTCGTATATTTTCTCGTTGCTTAGTGTACTTGCTACCATGTTTAGAAAAAATATATTTTTCTAAAGACCCATTAGGCATGAATTCGTATATAAGAGCATGCTTCGATCCCTCGACAAGTAAAGCCTATAAGTTGCACCACATTGACATGGTGGATTCTTCCGATAGTGGCAACTTCATTCATAAAGTCTTGTCCATTAGCTTTGGACTTGCTCAAAATTTTTATTGCTGCAAAACGACCACTACGAAGCTTTCCTTTATACACGGAACCAAAGCCTCCTTCACCCAATTTGTCAGCAAATCTATTGGTAATCTTCTTTATCTCTCGAGTAAGAGTACCTTCTAGGCATGAGGTTATTCTCTTGACTTTGCAAGAATTCTTCAATATTGTCATACATAGATAAATGTCTTCTTTGCCATTTGTAGATCAACAAAGCAATGAGACAGGGAAGCCCACAAAGAAATAATGGTATATGATATATCACCGCATAGAGACATTACAAGAACAATCATTGGAAGAAATTTATATTGTATCCTTATCAACAATTTTGTTTTTCCCTTAAAACAAAAATGTAATTTTCATTATATTGCTTCCTAATAAATCCTTCCAATCTCACCATGTATCGATAGATGTGCTTATATCCAAGTAAGAACATTCTTCAATTTTCAAATTCATAGCACTATAAAAATTTAATTTTCAAATCCTTCATTGATTTTAGAGAAAATGCAAAGAAAAAAATACGGTTTGCCTATTTGTTCGTTTTAAATTTTTTCATTTTAGTGATTTGTGTTGTATGCATTACTTTTTATTTATTTTTTTTCCATAAAAAAACGAGTTGCTAATATGAGCCCTCAAACTTTTTCAATTCTATAATTGCATCCATAATCCTTTAATTTTGAACAATTGACTATGATGACTCTCAACACTCTAATAAACACCCCTTGAACATGAAATTAACATACCAATATTTATGCACTTTGACACAAATTAAAAAAAAAAAAAACTCGAGCTATTTTTTTATGATTAAAAAAAGTTTCTATCGATAGCATTGAAATCCTTGTTTATAGTTGAGAAAACTATAAGGATATGAATATACATTAATTTGAGATGAAAATAATATAAATTTGTTCAACTGTGAAAAATAAATTATTTGGACTCAATTAGAAAAATTAAAAACTTGAAAGGTTGATTTTCAACAATTAAATGGATGGAAATAGTAAAAAGATAAAGGATGAAACCACAAGCCATTGAAGTACCAAAATTTGAAGATATTATGTATTTAGCTGCAATATTTGTGCATTTTATGTTTCTTAATTAATCCCAAAAAACAGAACAGAACCAAAAAGTACGTACCGATGAGAATAAGTAGAGTTGAGAGAGAAATTATGAGAAATACGACAATTCTTAGTAAAGCCGAAGAGGTGATTCGAGCACATATCTATAATTTTCTTCGCCAAATGAAAACATGAAGAAAATGAGAAAAAAAAAAAAGAACCCACGAAACACAAATTATATGTATTCTAAAAAGGAATATACAATTTAGGCAGACCAGTATCCTTCTAGATTTATTCAGTAAAAGTAAATAAATAATTACATAAAATTGTTTCTACTACTTAGTACATGAAAGTTTTTTGTGATTAATCTTGTAGTTGAAATGGCGAGGCATATTATACCCTTTCCATCAAGAGATTTGGCTTCTTTTTCAAAAATGGAAAAAAGAAGAAGAAGAAGAAGAAAGATTTCTTTGTTTAAATAGCTAGTTTGTTTAATTAATTAAGGTTTAATTTACCTATTTCGGGTGGAATTGTATTTAGTTTACCTCCTAAATATGATCCCAATATTAAGATGATCAACAAATTATAATAATAAAGAAAATTTGGGTAAAACTAAAGTTTTTTAATATCTTCAAATTTTTATATAGTCTAATAAAATATATAGAAAACTAATCCTCACTCATGCTACTCGAAGAGTCGATTGAAAAATTCTCCTCCCGATGTTCCTACATTAAGAGAGAATGAGTAAAGTCAATTTGCAAAATCTTATTGTATCATTTTCATATATCATATATTAGGATCAAAAAATGATTGAGGTAAATTTATCAAGCCAATATACGTAAATTGAAAAGTTCTTAATGATAAAGGATATCCATACGAAGAAGGATATCCACACGAAGAAGGTTTTGCACACCGGAAGCTTAGCGATGGACTTTATTCAATGCCAATAGGTCGCTCTATGGGTGA